AAAAAAGCGCAAACAGAAACAGAAAAATGCGCAACCAGAAAAAACACAAAGAAAAATGTGCAAAAGAGAAATTTAGCACAAAGACCATATGAACTAGATGACACATTTATACATGACTGTTAGGGCTGCTGTGAGAGTGTCGTGTTTGATCACGTGATCTACTACCATTTAAAGCGTACCACTACCATCTGCATTCCCATCACCTCGATACAGGCGATAATCACTTTACACAATGCCTATTATTTTCTTGGTCAATAATTATTCAACTACTATTCTCGTATAAATAAACATCAAAATATCATTGATATCGACATTACATGAAGTATCTCTCAATTATGTATTTAATATTATCATGACGCACCTACCTACGCACCTTCCCACCTACCCATTTACCCACCTACCCACTTACCCACCTACCCACTTACTTACTTACCCACTTACCCACCTACCCACTTACCCACCTACCCGCCTACCCACCTACCCACCTAAAAAGTATCGACGAAGTTCGTTAGTTTCGTAAACTGCACTAGACATATTTTTTAAAATGAAAATTCATTGACATATTATGTTACATATATGTTATATTTTGCGACAACCTTAATTAGTGCGTTGGGCTAGTGTGAACACTCACTTCGAATTAACTCAATTACATGCTATTTATTTTAACATTACACGGTAAGCGTCACCCAACTGTTGTGATGTGAGGTGAGGACAGGTTCGACAATAAACCAACACGAAAGTTAGAAAGAGACATAGATTGCCTATTAGAGAATGGACCCCTTAACTTTCCTAACCCCACATGGTTGCGCATTTTTCTGTTTCTGTTTGCGCTTTTTTCCGTTTGCGCTTTTTTCTGTGTGCGCTTTTTTCTGTTTGCGCTTTTTTCCGTTTGCGCTTTTTTCTGTTTGCGCTTTTTTCTGTGTGCGCTTTTTTCTGTTTGCGCTTTTTTCCGTTTGCGCTTTTTTCTCTTTGCGCTTTTTTCCGTTTGCGCTTTTTTCTGTTTGCGCTTTTTTCTGTGTGCGCTTTTTTCTCTTTGCGCTTTTTTCTGTTTGCGCTTTTTTCTCTTTGCGCTTTTTTCCGTGTGCGCTTTTTTCTCTTTGCGCTTTTTTCCGTTTGCGCTTTTTTCTGTTTGCGCTTTTTTCTGTGTGCGCTTTTTTCTCTTTGCGCTTTTTTCTGTTTGCGCTTTTTTCTCTTTGCGCTTTTTTCCGTGTGCGCTTTTTTCTCTTTGCGCTTTTTTCTGTTTGCGCTTTTTTCTCTTTGCGCTTTTTTCCGTGTGCGCTTTTTTCTCTTTGCGCTTTTTTCCGTTTGCGCTTTTTTCTGTTTGCGCTTTTTTCTGTGTGCGCTTTTTTCTCTTTGCGCTTTTTTCTGTGTGCGCTTTTTTCTCTTTGCGCTTTTTTCCGTGTGCGCTTATTTCCGTTGCGCTTTTTGATTTGCGCTTTTTTCCGTTGCGCTTTTTTCCGTTGCGGTTCTTTCTGGGAACCGTAGCTATGTGATTCACTGATGAGGTAGATATTATGTTATAAGAGTGGGGCTGGGTGGTGGAGAGTAAGGGGGTGAGACTTTGAGAGGGGATGACCTATTTATTCAAAGAGATCAGAGATTCTTCCAGGCATCTCTTCGGGGCAGTGGGGGGGGGGGGGGAGGGGCTCCTCGAACAAAATGGAAATGATATTGAAAATGAATACTTTTTTAACAGTGCCGCCTCCCCCGAAAAATTCAAGTGCCCCCCCCCCCCCCCCTGAGAAAAAAAGTCTGGAAGTAACACTGAAGGATATCTAGTTGGATAACTAGATTTTATTTAAATCTATTGACTCATATAGTTTTATTATATTTCCTATTCGTTTTAACAATCGTCTAAATTTATCTAAAGGATTTTGTATTCAACACAAATTTCGATCTTCCTCTTTTCAAACTTACCCTCATCCGCCCACCCACGCATCATGTCAATTTAATTAATTCTGATACAAAACCGCAACAAAAAGCTTGTATAACCTACTGCGTTGCTGTGTTTGAAATCAAAGAGTTTCCCAAACATGTGTGCGTGCGAGTAATTACATCTTGCGGCAATTAGACTAAACGAAATCTCGCGAATCCACACGAAGTTAGCACACGTTCCTTCTTTGATGCGCTTTGAAAGATTGGGTTTTGCTTTTCTAATATATCGAAAGGCAGCTTACAAACACACACACACAAACATGCACACACGCACGAACATACGCACACACACGCACATACGCACACACGCACCCACTCACGCACACACACACGCGCGCGCACTCACGCACGCACTCACGCACGCGCGCACACACGCACGCGCACATGCACGCACGCACACATATACACACACATACATACATATATATATATATACATATACATATACATATACATATACATATACATATACATATACATATACATATATATATATATATATATATATATATATATATATATATATATATATATATATATATATATATATATATATATATATATATATATATATATATATATATATATATATATATATATATATATATATATCAACGGCCAATGTATTTCTTACCATGTAAGAAAATTGCTTACAAAGTCCCATTGTCAGAGACTAAGCCTGATCTCTATTGATTCGTTGGTTTTGTGGGCGGGGAATGAAGAATGAGACACTGGATTTTTGTCCTACACGGAAACAGAAAACTTTTCTAACCTTCCCCTCGTCTAGTGCTCAGAGAACTACTGTAGAGAACGAGTAGCCTCCCTTCTCCTCATACTTATATACCAAAGTATACCAACGTATGTAGTAAAAATATCATTTCCTAATAGCTACAGAATCAACATATGAAGTAGACTACACCTGTTTCTGTGGCCTTGACATAAAAGGACAATGTGGTCGGCATAACGCCCAGACCCATTTATATTCCCTAATGTAAGGCAGGTACCCATCAGAGCTGGGTAGACTCAGGGAAGGCCATATGGATTAGAACTCGAGAAACTTCGGGTTAGCAGATAAAGATTTACTTGGAGAAATGAATATTTTTTTTTCTAGGATTCTCTTTAAAGAATTGAAGTGGTTTCTGTAGGTCGGGTGTCACTGAGGGTGTTACCTCACCCCAGTGGCGGAACTAGAAAAAAAGGGCCACCCCGCAAAAAAAATTTCTGGGCCCCCCTATATATATATATATATATATATATATATATATATATATATATATATATATATATATATATATATATATATATATATATATATATTTATATATATGTATATATATTATATATTATATATATATATATATACATATACAAACACAGAATACAAACATTTCTGGCCTAATCGTGTTTTTTTAAAAATGTGTTTTGTTTTTCAATTTAAACAAATTACAACTTTTCAGGTGTGTGAGTGCACTCGTCTGTTTTAACTTTTTGTTTTTAGATTTAGAACTAGTTTATTTCATGTTTGCTGTAAACTGCTTACCATCTAGACTTTTCACGGTCAAAAGAATATAAAACGTGAAAGCTTTGTATGCGTAATGGTTTCTCGTGTTATGTTTATTTTAAAGTTGTTTTGTATTTATATTATTTGTTTTAAATATATTTCCTTTAAATTCTATGTTATTCTTTAGTATATATTTTTAGAAAATATAATAATTAAGAGAAGTAATTGCTTTTTAATTTGTTTAGAACAAATATATTAAAAGAAGCTTATGAGCACACCTATTTAACTATTTAAAAAAGGGAAATAAGTCATGGAAGTGTTTTGAACGTTTGCTCAGGCATACATTTTTTTTACGCAACAGCATAATAATATGTTATCTACAATATAACATCACGACAAAAGTAGATCTGTTTGTTTTTCACAAAAGCTTTTACTGTCAATTCAAAAATGCAAGAAAATAGTGTTTTTTTTTTAACTATAAAATTTTTATTAAGGTCGGCTATGGGCCCCTAAATGGCGTGGGCCCCCCCGCATTGCGGGGTCTGGAGGCACTGTAGTTCCGCCCCTGCCTCACCCCCTCCCTGCAATAACTTATTGGTTTGGTGTCACCCTTATCCCCATACTTTTATATTATGTTCCTTAAGTAAAAGATATTTTAGACAATTTTTTAAATTGGTGTCACCCTATAAATTCTATCATTCGTTGAGGCCAGTCCTTTCCCCACACCTTATGACGCTACACGGCGGTGGGGTCATGGTTAGAACTAAAATCAGTGCCAAGGTATAGTATAAGCTAGCAACCATAGAAAAGAAAATAGCATCAGATAAGTCATATGGATATGTTTACATATAACACGATTGGATTGCGTCACTGTACAAAGCTAAACCCAAATCACATCGGCATCTTGAATCATTTGATTTCTGAATAACCAGAAATCATACCGGCATGTAGCATAAATTGATTTCTATATTACCATATACATATTATATAAAACCGTCGTGTGGAATAATTTGATTTCTGACTAACCAAAACCCACATCTAAAGAAATTTGATTTCTGACTAAGGGGTCGTCCATAAATGACGTCACACTCGTAGGGGGGAGGGGGGTCCGTAATTTTGTGACGGTGTGTGATGAGGGGGAGGGGCGGGGGGTTCAGATGGTGCGACGTCACACTTTTGCATTATAAAAAAGCAATGTTAGAAAACTGTTTTAATAAATTGTAATAGGAATTGATTAAAATACTCTATTTTGACAGAGCTCAGACAAGATTTTTAGAAAAATATCGATGTTTTTTTTAAAAAATCAACTGCAATTTTGAGGGGGGGGGGGGGGGGTTGTAGGCTAGGTGTGACGTCATTTAAGAGGGGGGGGGGGTCTGGCTTTTGTGACAACCTGTGACAGAGGGGAAGGGGGGGGGGGAGGTAAAAATCGTTCAAAAAAGCGTGACGTCATTTATGGATGACCCCTAACCCGAACCCACATCTAGAGAAATTTGACTTCTGATTAACCAAAAACACATCTGTATCTAGAGAAATTTCATTTCTGTTGTGTCCACTCTTGCAGTGAGATCTAGCAATGGACGACCCTGACCACGACACAAAGATGGACATCCTGGTGGTGTCTCGGGTGCTGGACGGCAACAAGGAGCTGGTGCTGCCCATGTTTTGCCAGATGAACCGTCTGACGGACACCGGATGTGAGATCGTCTGGATGGAAGTTGCCAGGTAAATTGATCACCACTGCAAGCCAATTTAGATCAAAATTACAATTGTAATACTTTCTGTTTAAGTCTTAAAAAAGCAGTGATAATTTTTTTGTAGCCTTCTTTACACGGAGACCACATTACTGCTATTTATACATGTGATCATAACTTGTTTCAATAGTAGGCCTATCTTTAATTGGGAGGAGGGGGAGGAGGGGGGTCGGGCACAAATGGCGTCACACAATTAGTGGTGGAGGTGCTACAAATGACAGAGTGCATGTGTGTTGGGAGGGGGAGGAGGGGGTTCAAGAATGTGACACTACATTTTAATTAAGCTTTTAAAGAAAAAAAAACAAGAGATACGTTTTCATAGACATTTGGTTAAGTTTATTTTCATTAGGGTAGAGAGACGGCGGTGGTGGTGGTGTTGGGGGGGGGGGGGGTCTGGATTGTTCAATGTTCAATCTTGTTACGATTAGTTGGTTGGGTGAAATCTGCTAATATATGCCGAGATCATTTATGGAGTACCCTTTTAATATATAATTGTATAACAAAAGTCTAAAATATTCTAAAATTATATATATATATATATATATATATATATATATATATATATATATATATATATATATATATATATATATATATGTATAAAATTGAGAAATAGGTAAAATAAATGTAAACTTGTTGCCTAAATTTTGTCTGTTGACCATTTCACTTCACTGTCTGTTGACCAATTCACATCACTGACTAATATATATAGACCATTTCACATCCCTGTCTCCTATCTGTTGACCATTGTCATGTTCACATCATTTCACATTTCACATCACTGTCTGTTTGAATCTCACACCACTGTCTGTTGACCATTTCACATCACTGTCTGTTGACCATTTCACATCACTGTCTGTTAACCATTTCACATCACTGTCTGTTTGAATCTCACACCACTGTCTGTTGACCATTTCACATCACTGTCTGTTGACCATTTCACATCACTGTCTGTTGACCATTTCACATCACTGTCTGTTTGAATCTCACACCACTGTCTGTTGACCATTTCACATCACTGTCTGTTGACCATTTCACATCACTATCTGTTGACCATTTCACATCACTATCTGTTGACCATTTCACATCACTATCTGTTGACCATTTCACATCACTATCTGTTGACCATTTCACATCACTATCTGTTGACCATTTCACATCACCGTTGACCATTTCACATCACTATCTGTTGACCATTTCACATCACTATCTGTTGGCCATTTCACATCACTATCTGTTGACCATTTCACATCACTATCTGTTGACCATTTCACATTACCGTTGACCATTTCCCATCACTGACTAACATATATTAACCATTCCACATCACTGACTTCTTTCTGTTAACCATTCCACATCACTGACTTCTTTCTGTTAACCATTCCACATCACTGACTTCTTTCTGTTAACCATACCACATCACTGACTTCTTTCTGTTAACCATTCCACATGACTGACTTCTCTCTGGTAACCATTCCACATGACTGACTTCTCTCTGTTAACCATTCCACCATCAACTGACTTCTCTCTGTTAACCATTCCACACCACTGACTGCTGTCTATTAACCATTCCACATCACCCTTGACCACTCCCAGGTGGATCAAGTTTGAAGAGTACCTAGACGAGGACGCCAACCGCTGGTCCAAGCCCCCACGTGCCGTCCTTGTCCATGCGAGCCATGGGCACGCTCAAACGTGAGCTCAGGCACTGTCCGGTCATGTTTGACCCTGACGTCACGGATTTCAACTCCCTGATTGGTGAGTACAACAGATCGCTGGACTACGTCATTGTGTTTGTCCTAGTTTTTAACTGTTTATGTCTGTAATTCTTAAATATAACCTAACAGAGAAACATAGAGGAAAACTAACCGCGGTACTAAACAATATTTTTGGTCGGCCTTTTATCTATTACACAATGTTTCTATGTGTCTTGAGAAAAGAGTCGTACCCCAGTAGCGTAGCGAGAGGGGGGGGGGGGGGGGGGGGGGGCGGGGGACATATGTCCCCTGGCGCCGACATTACGGGGCGCCAAAATGCGTTGGAAAAATAAATTGAAAGGTTGAGGGGGGCCGCAAATTGAAAGTTTGAAGAGGGGGGGGGGGGTGCAAATCGAAATCTTGACAAATCGAAATCTTGATGGGGGGAGGGTGCAAATCGAAAGTTTGAGGGGGGGTGCAAATCGAAAGTTTGAGGGGGGTGCAAATCGAAATCTTGAGGGGGGGGGGGGGGTGCAAATCGAAATCTTGAGGGAAGGGGGGGGGGGTGTGCAAATCGAAAAGTTTGTCCCCGGCGCCGGGAAGGGTCGCTAAGCCTCTGTCGTATCGATAAATATATGTACACGCACACGCACACACGCACACACGCACACATACACACACCACACACACCTTATATATGTATATAGGTATGTGTGTGTGCGTGTGTGTGTGAGGGTATGTATGTGTGTGTGTGAGGGTGTCTATCAGTGTTTCTTCCAGACTTTTTTCTCCAGTGGGGGGGGGGGGGGGGCACTTGAAATTTTCGGGGGGGGGGGGGGGGGTTAGACTTTCTTCGGGGGGGGGGGGGGGGCGGACGGCGGACACTGCTGAAAGTATATATTATTTTCTATATAGATTTCAAGAGATGCCTGGAAGAAACTCTAGTGTGTGTGTGTGTGTGTGTGTGTGCGTGCGCGTGTACATTGATGCAAAATCTACCTAAGTTTTCCCAGTCACTGCAAAAAGTCTGTGTAGCTACAAGCTAGGCTTCAACTGCGTATGGTGACAATGTGTTTCTTTCAGTTCTTTCAGGCATCTCTCAAAGTCCCCAGTCCCGTTATGTAATATGTCTACTTTAACTCGAACTTCATGTTGAAATAGAAATAATTATAAATTTTAATAGAAATTTAATTTGAAAATATATACATCCCCCCTCTCCGTCCTTCCTGGGAAGTTTAAAATACACGCCCCCCTCATCCACCCCTCCTCTACAGATAAAAAATGTCTGAGTTTGACTTACTTTTCTCGGCGACAGCCAGACACAAACCATTAAAACCACACGCGGTGTCAGGTGACAGTGACGCGACTAATTAGCAATCAAAACAAAACAAATCCTCTAAGGTCAAATATTATTCGAGACATTATGTGTGTGTGTGGCTGGATTTTGTTTTATGATTTGAAAAATGAAACCAATGTAGTTGTGCAATACCTACTAGTTTTTTTTTTCTCCCATTAAAACGATTATTAAAAAATAACTAAGCAATAATTTAACAATAACAATATAAATAACTAAACAATTCCTAAATAAATCGAATGACATATGAAACTAAAAAGTTACACTCAACATTACATTTTTTTTCTTAACTAGGTCTATATTTGTTTCTATATTCAGCCAACAATGCTACTCTATGAGTTTTTTACAAAGCACGTTTTAATTATTCTGCAATTTCTTAAGTTTAAACATTGAAATATAAGCTCCATGTTCTCACATTTCAAAGTATAATATCACTGTGTCATAGAAAATATTAACAAATTCGAAAGCGCAAATAGTATGGATTTGACAAACCTTGCGTAAACCAACAAGCAACATCACCAGAAAGACAATAGATTGGTATTCCCAAATATAAAGAGGAAAATAGGGTTGGTCAAAACAAACTTTTAAAAAAAAATCAATCGTCAGTGAAGCTGGATCAGTCGGAATGTCGTGGGCCCAACTTGGAGATATTCCTCATAACAGAGTATAATGGAGAGGTGTGGTTGCGTTTCTATGCTCCTCGAGGGGTCTACAAAATGATGACGTAGTGAAGTTGATGGTAGAATCATTGGCGTAGCGAGGTCGGGTGTCAACCCGGTGCGGCACTTAATGATGTCACGCCCCAGAGGCGTAGCGACCCTTCCCGGGGACAAACTTTCAAATTTTCGATTTGCTTCCCCCCTCCCTCAAACTTTCGATTTGCACCCCCCCCTCCTCAAATTTTCGATTTGCACCCCCCCCCCCTCTCAAACTTTCGATTTTGCACCCCCCTCAAGTTATTCTCTATATATTTTGCTTTTTTTTCGCCTTGGTGTCACCCCCCCCCCCTATATGGCGTCACCCGCTGCGATCCGCACCACCCCCCCCCCCCCCCCCTCGCTACGCCTCTGGGTAGAATATCTTAGTTTTTAACTCTAATCCTGAATCTGCACTTATTGGGAAAAAAGAACAATAATCCAAGGTACGGCTAATCTAAGAGTAACAGTCACCGAGCTAAAAATAACGACCAATTCGTTATTTCTACATCCGTATTGAGAGGAAATCATCAGCTAGTCTTCAACATTCAATTGGCCCTAACTGTGGCCCACACAAAGAGGAAAGTACGGCCCTGGCTACTGTGGTGTTGGCCAAATTTACAGACCACCCAGTGGGCTCTCGGCCTAATTGGGCCAAATTTAGATATGTATGGTGGCTCTGTTAGCTTATACGTACCATCTCACGTGGTTAGATATTTAGATTTGAGGTTTAGTTTGATATTACACAATGTATAGAGTTGTGCTTAAGACAGATATTGTGTGTAATGTAAACGACGATTTAAACCAAGATTTATAATAATAATCATAAACGCTGAATATGATTTTTATTATAATACGATGTGCGTTACTTGACTTAATAAATATATATTTTTAATAGAATCGATTAACAGACTGACTCGTTCGAAGAAGGGTCATTTATATGTCTATATTTACTTATATATGGGGGTCAGCCATTTATGACATCCAGACGGGGGTGGGGGGTCCGAAAAAAATTGACATTGGCGGACGCGTAAGGACTTTTATAAGGGAAATTAGTGGATTTTTGTGGACGGACGGACGGGGTCCAAAATCCAAAATAATTGTGGTCGTCATAAATGGATGACCCCCTATATATATATATATATATATATATATATATATATATATATATATATATATATATATATATATATATATATATTGTATATATAAACATGACTGTAAATATGTAAATGCTATGTGTCTAGAGATGAGTGATGATGCAGTCACCAGCAGCAATGTCTTGCCACCAATCGATAACCTCAGCCAGTATTAATCAGCTGGGAGGTGAAAGAATGTATCGGGTTATTATTGTCATCTAATTATAGACAGTCGGGCCTGGTCAAGTCAATATTTACCTGCACGGTCATAGGGGATTGTTCGTATTTGTGCTGAGTTTGTTTTTTGTGGGATTTTTGTGTGGGCAAATTGAATGAATGTTTAGGTCACAAAATACATGATTAAATTTTACTAAACTATTGAGCATTCACATATATTTTTTTAAGTATTTTTTTGTGAGTGTCAAACCGGAAACGAAATAAACATATATATTTATATTTTTATAGACATAAAATGTATAGGTATGTATAGTTGGGTGACCCGTCAAAAGAGCGCACGACAAAAGAGTGCCGACATAAGAGCGCAGACAAAAGAGCGCCGACATAAGAGCGCCGACAAAAGAGCGCAGACAAAAGAGCGCCGACATAAGAGCGCAGTCAATTAAAAAAAAACACATGTTGTACGCTAAACGAATATGACATGGTTAACACTTGTTTTAATTTAACAATCGGCGTGATATCAACGTCTTTATTTATATATTATGGTTAATATGTTATGAATGCAGTTTGAAAATATTTCTAACCCACGTAACATGGAGAAGATCGAATCACAGAAAGTGAAGGTTATTATATTGGTCGAAGGCTACAGATATAGAAAGGACAAAGCAAATACCGATGAAAGTACGACATGGAGATGCTGCAAGAAAGATGGCTGCCGAGGACGGATAAAAATGCTGAACGATGTTGTTCTGTCATCATCAGAACACAATAACGCAGCTGCCATACCCAAATCCGCAGAACGTTGCAGACATAACAATTCCTGAACATCTTCAAACGACAACCAGAAGCTTCAAAGAACAATTATGTTCAACTGAACCGAAGATTGCAGGCGATTGCTTCAACCAATGCTAATGATTCAATGATGGACTACCTACGAGGTATAGCCCACAACATAGCAATATAAATGCAACTATAAAGAAACGTTTTATTAATTTGAACTTATTTTCATTTTGTTACATTTCATTTCAGTTTATATTCTCACTTTTAGGCCTAACATTTAAAATCTTTGTATGTGTTATTAGATTACGTTTTGAATAATTGGACTTCTCGTTAGTTGTACCAGTTTTTTAGTTAAAGAAACTGAACAATTAGTTTTTTAATGAAACAATAAAGAGTTAACACCAAACGATGCCTTTTGATCTGAGATAATTTTGCTTGTTTTTATTAAATATGGTTTTTCGATTTTTATTTTGCGCTCTTATGTCGGCGCTCTTTTGTCGGGAAATTAGTGCGCTCTTATGTCGGCGCTCTTATGTCGGCGCTCTTTTGTCTGCGCTCTTATGTCGGCGCTCTTTTGTCGTGCGCTCTTTTGACGGGGTGCCGTATAGTTGTATTAATGAGAAGCAAGATGGGTTACTGTCCTGAGCTAACAAGCCTAATCGCCACGGGGATTTGAACTAGGGATCATTTATATCTAAACAACCTTCTTATTCCAGAGAAACTAGACGTTTGTATGAAAAAAATTTTCTTTATTCCAGAGAAACTAGATGTCTGTATGTAAATTTATTTTTTCTTTATTCCAAAGAAACTAGACGTTGTATGAAAAAAAATCTTCCTTATTCCAGAAAAACTAGACGTCTGTATGTAAAATATTTTTTCTTTATTCCAGAGAAACTAGACGTTTGTATGTAAAAAAAAATATTTCTTTATTCCAAAGAAACTAGATGTCTGTATGTAAATTTATTTTTTCTTTATTCCAAAGAAACTAGACGTTGTATGAAAAAAAATCTTCCTTATTCCAGAAAAACTAGACGTCTGTATGTAAAATATTTTTCTTTATTCCAGAAAAACTAGATGTCTGTATATAAAATATTTTTTCTTTATTCCAGAGAAACTAGGCGTCTGTATGTAAAATATTTTTCTTTATTTCAGAGAAACTAGGCGTCTGTATGTAAAATATTTTTCTTTATTCCAGAGAAACTAGGCGTCTGTATGTAAAATATTTTTCTTTATTCCAGAGAAACTAGGCGTCTGTATGTAAAATATTTTTCTTTATTCCAGAGAAACTCGTGTCGGCCTGGGTACAGGGTGGCTACATCGATAGAGCACTGGAGAACGGGCTGAAGCTGGCACTACACAAGCCCCACAGACACGTACACGAGGGGAAGATACCACGCCCAGTGTCCGTGGGTTCGAATCTCCTGGCGGTCAAGGAGCGAGGTCTGGCTGGGTCCAGTGTGTCGCTGCAGTCATTGGAGAGCTACGCCAGTGAGAGAGGTAGGAGGGTGGGGATCTTTGGGTGGGGTCGGGGATCTTTGATGGGGTCGGGGGATATTTTGATGAGGTTGGTGGAATTATGTGGGGATCATCTGATAGGGGTATATTGTATTTTGATGGGGTCGGGGATCTTTGATTGGGTCGGTGATTTTTTATCGTGAGGGGATAATTTGATAGTGGTATATGGATATTTTGATGGGGTCGTGTGGATCTGTTAATGGGGTGGGGATCATTTGAGGTAGGATGGTAGGGTTGGGATCTTTGGATAAGGTATGGGTTTTTTTTATGGGATCGGGGGATCTTTGATGGGGTAGGGATTTGTTAGGGATCTAGCGATATTGCGACAGGGTCGTGTGATCTTTAATGAGGTGGGGACATTTGAGGTGGGATGGTAGGGTTGGGATCTTTGGATGGGGTCTTGGGATCTTGTGGGGATCAACTGATAGAGATAAATTAATATTTTGATGGAGTCGGGGGATCTTTGATGGTGTGGGGATATTTTGTAAATGATCTATGAATATTGTGATGGGGTTATGTGATCTGTTAATAGGGTGGGGGACATTTGAGGTAGAATGTTATGATTGGGATCTTTTGGGTGGGGTCGGGGATCTTTTGACGGGGCAGCGGATCTTTAATGGGATGGGGATCATTTGATTGGGGTATATGGGTATTTTTTATGGGGTCTATGGATCTTTTTATGAAAGAGATGGACCCTTTGATGTTGTATGTATTTTTTATGGAGTCAGAAGAGCCTTTTGAAGGGATGTTAGGTTCATTTTATTACGAGTATGTGGACCTTTTCATGTGATTAAATGGATAATTTATTTCGATGGATAACGGAAGATCTGCTTGGATTATATTTCGTTCGAACGAAAAATGAAAGAAATTGTTTTTGTGAGGTATAAAATCTGTTTGTCTAATTGAGATGGAAGATTTTGTGAGTTAAAGAAGTAAAAGATATTTTTATTTTCATCTGAAAAGTGATATTTTTAGTCTTAATTGGCGGATAACGATTTTGTGATTTCGCGGGTTTAAAAGAGAAGATATGGATTAAACGGACAGGCAGAAGCAAATATTGAAATTATGTTAACTGGAATTTAGATTGCTGGCTTTGATTGTTATGTGAAGATTTATTATGTGAAATGTAAAGAAAAAAAGATAAGTTTTGTTTTACTTTTTGTTAACTGGAATTTAGATTGCTGGCTTTGATTGTTATGTGAAGATTTATTATGTGAAATGTAAAGAAAAAAAGATAAGTTTTGTTTTACTTTTTGCTTCGCTATTGCGCGCAGTTAACTTTGGTACGTTTAACTATATAGATTCCACTGTGAATATAATAGCGATACAATTTCTCAGAAAGGATTTTTTTTTTACTTTTTGTTTCGCTAACGCGCGCAATTAACGTGCATACGTTTAACTACATTGATCCCACTGTGAATATAATATAGATACAATCAGTGGCGTAGCGAGGTCGGGTGTCACCCGGTGCGGCACTTAATGGTGTTACCCCCAAGAGGCGTAGCGACCCTTCCCGGGGACAAACTTTCAAATTTTCGATTTGCACGCCCCTCAAACTTTCAATTTCCTACCCCCCCCCCCTCAAACATTTGATTTGCACACCCCCCCCCCCTCAAGTTTTTATTTATATATTTTGCTATTTTTTGTCTTGGTGTCACCCCCCTAAATGGTGTCACCCGGTGCGGTCCACACCCCTCGCCCACCCCCCACCCCCTCGCTACGCCTCTGGATACAATCTCTCAGCCAGAAATATTTGTGGCTCATGAACATTTTTGTGGTTTCACAAACTGGCCGTAACAAAAATATGGCGTCCGCAGCTTATAAAAAATTAAATTGATGTTTGAGACAAACAGACGGAAAGTTGAAAGGTCGCCGTGAGTCAATCGACAAATCAACGTCAGAAACGTCGGCTGCTAGGGCGGTGACGTACTCACGGCTATCGGTTGCGACATTTACGTCGTATGCTCCGTCGGGCCGTGTTAAACTCGGGAAGTGTCAGTTGCGGCGTTTTAAAGGTCATGCAAGTTTTATGAAACTGTATTTTATCCCTATTAACTTTTACAAAACATAAAAAAAATTGTATCGTGTATATTACCTTAAAAACTTTTTGAATGCTTTGAACTATTCATATGGTAGACGTGAAAATACTAAGGGTCGTCCATAAACGATGTCACATGACTTATGTTAGTAGAAGAGGTGTCAGATATTATTTGAGGATATTATTTGAATAGGCGAGAGGTATTTGGGGGTGGGGTTTTAACAGAGGCGTAGCGAGGGGGGGGGGGGGCGGGGGGTGCGGACCGCACTGGGTGACACCAAGGGGGGGGTGACACCTAGGCAAAAAAGAGCACAATATATAGAAAAAAACTTGAGGGGGGTGCAAATCGAAAGTTTGAAAGTTTGTCCCCGGGAAGGGTCGCTACGCCTCTGGGGGGTGACACCATTAAGTCCCGCACCGGGTGTCACCCGACCTCGCTACGCCACTGGGTTTTAACCAGTGTTTCTTCCAGACTTTTTTCTCCGGGGGGGCACTTGAAATTTTCGGGGGGGCGGTAGACTTTCTTCGGGGGGGGGGGGGCGGACACTGTTAAAAGTATATATTTTCTATATAAATTATATAAATTTCATTTCGTTCGGGGGGGGGCGGTAAAAAATTCTCGGGGGGGCTTCGCCCCCCCGAAGAGATGCCTGGAAGAAACTCTGGTTTTAACACACACATACCCAAGGAGACCCATAAGGAAATAAAATTCTTATGAATTAAAATTATTAGCGACGATAGCGCCCCAAAAGAAAAATAATTTCGTACACAAATTACAATTTTTGGCGACCATAAACCCCTTGCCGAACACCACAAAAAATAAATAAATAAAATAAATTACAACAAATAAAACAGCTAACACAAAGCCATGGGGGAAAACAGACACTACAAGTAAACAAAATATCATTTTGAACTATACGGTCCGTGGGGCAGGCGAAGTAGAGTTCACCTGTTTCTGTGACCTCTGCACATGACGTGGTAGATTTAATAAATTGATAGACTCTAAAATTAGAATTTGTTTTTCAGAGGGAGCGGAGCATAATTCTAACGAGGATGTGTCAGAGATGGGATCACAGAAAGGGACTCCGAAAACTTCACGGGTGAGTTGCTGTCATTAGATTGTGTGTGTGTGGGGGGGGGGGGGGGAGTTGTCATTAGATGATAGGTGCTGTCATTAGATTTTAGGGGGGAGAGTGCTGTTAGTAGATTGTGGGGGGGGGGGGGGTGTTGTCATTAGATTATAGGTGCGTTGCTGTCATAAGACTTGGGGGGGGGGGTGCTGTCATTAGATTTTAGTTGGGTAAATTTCGTTATATTGTAGGGGAATTGCTGTCGTTAGATTGTAGAGGGGCTGCTGTCATTAGATTGTTGGGTAAGTTGCTGTTGTATTATATGGTGAGTTGATGCAATAAGATAAAATATTTTTTTTCTGCTTTTGTGATTTTTTACATCTGTACAACAATAGACACATTGCATGTCGATATAAAAAGACTATTTTTTTTTTCCGAAAGCAATAAATAAATAAAACTGAATTGTTGGTTATTAATAGGATAATCTTCGTGTTGTTATATATGTTGTGTCAGTAAGTGTTTCTATGTTTAGGTTGAGTTAGTACCTGTTTCTACATTGAGACAGTTAAGCTTAGGGTTAGCACTTGTTTCTAGTGTTAGTTTAGTCTGGGTTTGTGCCTCGTTTCAATGGTGTCTAAATACCGATTTCCACGGCTTAATTAGACAATCTTTCCAATACAGTAAGTAGCCTTGTTGGTAGACCATTTAATGTTTTAATGTAATCATTCAGAGTACTCTGACATGGTGGAATAATTTTAAAATATAAATATGAATAATAAATCATTTAAATTAGCTTTAACTATCGCTATGTGATGATTAGGCTAAGATAGTTTTAATTTTGGCATATTTCTGAAGTGGGGAAATGCACACACAAAAAAAAGAAAATATTCCAAAAGAAGGTATAAATCAAATTTTGCCAGTGCATCTAATTTTATTTGCTTGCCCAGCTACTCGTCTTTATTTCTTTATTAAGAGTTATTTCCCTTTATTATCTTGTTTATGAATCATTATCTGCCGTATTAGACAGCTCGCGTGTATTAAATCTTCACTTTTTTAATCACTGATTCTTGTTCAGTCTCTCGTTTTAAAAATAAAACACGAATAAAAACCTGCATAACGACAAGCTTTTGCGTGCATAAAAATCATAAGGCTTAGCAACCTGACAACAACAATCAGCATAGCAACAGCATTTGAAAAAAACCGGTAACATACGACGCTACCACGCACAGAGTTTCTTCCAGGCATCTCTTGGGGGGGGGGGGAGTCTACCGCCACCCCCGCCCCCCTTCCCTTCCGAACGAAATGGAATCTATATACAGAATATATACTTTTATCAGTGCCCCGTCCCCCCCCCCCGTCCCCCCGTAAAATTTACCCCCCCTCCCCCCACCCCCCGAAAATATTAAGTGCCCCCGGAGAAAAAGGTCTGACCAGGAAAAGGATTCACAATAGTTTTCACTCATTAAACCATCGCCATCTCTAACGCAGAATTACTTACATCGTTGCTTTTTCCCCATATTACAGTTATTTCATGTTTTTTTTTTTAATTAAATGATTATATTTTAATTCAACCATTTCGCTGTATTTTGATTTTAATTTCTGTTCAAAATGTTTTTCAAAAAATCTCTTTTGAAAAAAAAAGAGTTAATTAACAATGGAAAACATAATGTCGGTGAAGCCTTAGGAAGTTCTCTCTTTTCTACATTTTTTTTAAAACATTGCTTTCAATATTCTCCATATAGTATTAAAAAAATAAAATTACAAAACAAACCAAAAAAAAATGTGGTATAAAAAATGTATGCACTCAGCTCAGAAAATAGCTCATTTTAAAATCAAGTTTTAGTTGAATAATTGATGTCTTTAGTCATAAATATCTCCGTTGTTTTTTTGTTACGTCACTGTTGTCCTTGACCGTGAAAGCCGCCAATTGCTGCGGTGAATGTGTCACAAGCATTAGCTGTCCTGACGTCGCTTGATCAAAGGGGGACGTGATATACACACCGTGTTATCAAGTCCACTCCAAGCACGCCACTATCTCGGGGTAGTTAGCCATATGCTTGTAGGGGGGGGGGGGGATAGTGGGGTGGAAAAGGGGGTTATTGGTTGGTCAATTGACTTTTTGAATTTAGCCGTAGGATGGTGCTCATTTTGTTTAGATGTTGGTGCTTATAGGTGGTGGGGTGGATGAGTAAATTGGTTGGTCAAAGGACGTTGTGAAGCTAGTTAGCCGTTTGATGGTGCTGAAATTGTTTACATGTTGGTGTTTATAAGGGGTTGTGAGTGGGGTGAGGGGATATTGGTTGGTGAATAGACTTGGTGAAGTTAGCCGTTTGATGGTGCTGAAATTGTTTAGATGTTGGTGCTTGTAGGGGGTGTGAGGTGGGGGGGGGGGGGTGGGATTGGTTGGTCAATAGACTTGGTGAAGTTAGCCGTTTGATGTTGCTGAAATTGTTTAGATGTTGGTGCTTGTAGGGGGTGTGAGGTGAGGGGGGGATTGGTTGGTCAATAGACTTGGTGAAGTTAGCCGTTTGATGGTGCTGAAATTGTTTACATGTTGGATAGATTGTCACTAGCTGTGGCTTAGCTGTGTGCTTTGATGACTGGTTAGTCAGCTGTTGTTGTTGTTGATGTTCGCTGATCCCTTGCTGTTGTTGATGTTCGTTGATCCCTTGCTGTTGTTGATGTTCGTTGATCCCTTGCTGTTGTTGATGTTCGTTGATCCCTTGCTGTTGTTGATGTTCGTTGATCCCTTGCTGTTGTTGATGTTCGTTGATCCCTTGCTGTTGTTGATGTTCGTTGATCCCTTGCTGTTGTTGATGTTCGTTGATCCCTTGCTGTTGTTGAGTTGTTTAGACATAGTGTGTAATATGTCGACATGTTGAAGATTAAAATTAAAGCGTTAGTTGTTACCAGTGGCGGACTAACCCGCCGGCCTATCGAGAAAAAATCTCGGTAGGCTCCCAGGTATGATGCAGTAATAATCCTATTCGTGTTTTAGTTTTTAAATTTTTAAATTGTTGGTAGATTACCATTTTACCATTCATTCATACCAAGACGTAAAATTCAGGCTTTGATAAATTGTTAGTCAGCGTAAAATTCAGGCTTTGGTGGAGAAAAAAACAACACAATGAAAATTTCAGCCCAGGGTTGGGGTCCCTTCTAAAATTTCATTTGCCTCCTAGACATATCCGCTCCAGGTTGTTACATAAAAATCAAGACAAATTATAAAACGTTGGTTACATCGCAGCTGTATTGAGAATAATTGTATATAAACTTTTAAAATATTTCATACAAAACTATCGTTGATTTCTTTAAAAGTTTTACTGGATCATTTATTTTGATTTCTAGATGTGAAATCATTTTTATAATATATCAAGCAAACAAATTAGCAAAGAGAAAACAGCCATGTTGCTAAAAATGGAAAAAATTACTTGTCAAACCTTGAAAAGTGATAAGTGATACATTTGTAAAACCATTACATATGTAACGTGATAGACTTGTTAAACCTGGAATCCTGACCAGTAATAAAACTTGATTGACCTAGAAACCATACGAGCGACACATGTTTTAAATCTAATCTAGAAAAGCGACAAGTGATAGATTTGTAAACAGTGTTTCTTTCAGGCATCTCTTCGGGGGAGGGGGAAGGGTGGGGGGGGGTATTGATTTTATATAGAAAATACATACTTTCACCAGTGTCCGCCCCCCCCCCCCCCTCAAAAAGTTGCAGGTCCCTTCATCTCCCAAGAGAAAAAAATCTGAAAGAAACACTGTTAAGCCTAAAATTCTGACAAGTTGTAAACTTTGACAAATTATGAAAAATGCCAAGTAATAAAATTAGGAATTCTTCAAATCTTACAAATGATAAGCTATGTATTTGTTAAAATACAAAATAACTAACAAGTAATAAACTTCTTGATAAATCTAAAACCTAACAAGTAATAAACTTAGTAAATCTAAAAAAACTGACAAAAAAAAATAACGCATACATTTGGAGATTGAACCAGTGATTGCTCGCGCGGACATAGAGGTCGAAGGTAAATGACGTGTTGAAGAATTTAATCATTCACACAGAATGACATCCTGCCACACGGACTGTGGAGGGTTAATAAGATTTTTCTGGGAGAAAATAGGTTAATCACAACGTAAAATAAGTTATTGATTTCAAAGACGTTTTTTTTTCTCTCTGTAGCTATTATGGTTTACAAACGAATAGATATATTATTAGTCTACAAGACCATTGGTTGTGATATTGTACACAACTTTCCAACTAGACCATAGACTACATTAAAGATTAACTTTTCGGACCATACAATAAACATAAGATAAGCCAATAGACATGATGAGTTAATGAGAATCCTTCCATCATTATTGTTGACATGGATGAAAATCGTGTTTTTTGTCAATTCTATCTTTTCTATGTCGGCCTAAAAATAATAATAAATAAAACATTTTAACCTTGGAAAAAAAATTTAAAAATTAAATATTTTTAAGAATCAGTGGTGTAAAATTTGCAAAAGCAGAGAACTTGGAAATAATATTTTGAGTTTAAGGGCACATTTCTATTTATGTTCATCAAGCCTAAATTATAACCTGACATTTCGATTTCGTAAGACAAGCATTGATTGGCTGAACAGAAACTCAGTGATCGATCTTTTGCAACCCCCACTTCCTAGTATGCTAATTAGTACTAAAACCTTTACTTCTACAATGTTTTAATAAAATTATATATTTTTTAAACCACATGGCCGAGTTATGCCAAGTTTATGTACATTTTCAGTGACATTGTTAATAACAAAATTAATTTTATTAATATTAAAAGCATCAAATACATCCAATCTTTAGTTAAATTCAACAAAAACCAAACAGTAATTTTCTATAATCATATTTATTTAAATACCATCGTACAGGATTTAAAAAAATAATTTAATGAGCCTTAATGAATAATTTTCGGTTGGGTTCATTATGCCTAATGTCACATACACGATTTGCCCAGTAGACCATTCACCACATACAAGATTAGCTCTAGACTAGACAATACATTACACACAAGATTAGGCTATTCGGCCATACATTACACACAAGATTAGACTATTCGGCCATACATTACACACAAGATTAGGCTATTCGGCCATACATTACACATAAGATTAGACTATTCGGCCATACATTACACACAAGATTAGGCTAGTCGGCCATACATTACATACAAGATTAGCCAACAAGAATATAGATACAAGATTAGCCAATTATGAAGTAAATTACTGTAATTCTGTTGAAAAACCTCGCACATGAAAGTGAAACAAAAACGATACAAATTAGTTTCCTGTTCAGTTTTTTCATGCTTTCAACTTTTTGTCATTGCCGTATTTTAGCATTAGCAAGGTCTATACATAATTGAAAAGTTTGAATTAGCTGATGCTGAATCCATTTTACCAATTTGTTTTATTGAAATGCAGATTTAAAATCCCAAATGCCTGATAATGGCGGGTAGCGTTAAGATGATTGTACGATATTCTAAATTTAAAAAAAAAACCGGTCAGTTCAGATGAACTAGTTTGTTTCTTCAACTTTATCATATAAATGGATTGTGTGGTCAGTAATATGTTCAGCTTACATTATATTATCCAACTCGAGTCAGGTACCCATTTGAGCTGGATAAACTCAGATCCGTTTTATGTTTTCAAACTTATAAACTTGAAACGTTCTGGTAACCATTCGTGTACTCTTCTACTTGGCCACACTGCCTCACACTACAATGGTCAGGTGTTGCTATTTACCAGGCTGGGTAATTCACAGGTTTGCAAGCCATGTGGATGCGCAATTTTCTTGGGGCAGAACTAGTACAGTACAGATTTGCACATCTCTGATGTGGGCAAATTCCTTCGGGCAAAACTAGTACAACACAGGTTTGCACACCTCTGTGGGTGCGCAATTTTTTTAAAAGGACAGAGCTAGGAGAGTACAGGCTGCACGCATATGTGGGTGCGCAATTCACATGAAGGGCAGAACTAGTACAACACAGTTTTGCACACCTCTGTGGGTGCGCAATTTACCTAAAGGACATAGCTAGTACGGCACATGTTTGATCTATGTTTAAAGAACCCAGCAACGCAATGGATGTTGAATTTTACTTTAATAGCTGGTGCAGACAAATAAATCTCGGTTAGGAATGGGGGGGGGGGGGGGGGGGGTTAGATTCAAGGGGAGGGAATTACATTATAATAAATACGCTCTTGTAATGTAAAGTGTATCTGCCATAACATAATTTTTTTTAAAAATTTTATATGAATTGTTTTGTTTGAGATTTTAGTAGGATAAAGACACAGCGAAAAGGGGATATGTAATGCTTGGAGTAGTGGGGGGGGGGGGGGGGGGAATTTCATGGTTCGAGGCTTTGTAGCGAAGGATATATTTTTATGCCCGAGTTTACAAATAGTTTCTAAATTGATGTGCATTCCTGTTCGACCAGATTTAGAACATAGTAAAAATGTTAATCCAAGCGCTCTCTTCCCCATCTGTCACCATTATCTTTATCGTAACAAGTCGTCACACAATCCTAGACCCCCCTCCCCTGTAAGATAGCATAATTACAATCAGAGGCGTAGCGAGGGGGGGGGGGGTCGGGGGGTGCGGACCGCACCGGGTGACACCATTTAGGGGGGTGACACCACGGCAAAAAATAGCAAAATATAAAGAGAAAAACTTGAGGGGGGGGTGCAAATCGAAAATTTGAGGGGGGGGGGGGTGCAAATCGAATTTTTTTGAAAGTTTGTCCTCGGGAAAGGTCGCCGCGCCTCTGGGGGGCGTGACACCATTAAGTGACACCCGACCTCGCTACGCCACTGATTACAATTACAATCAACATCACCCACCTGTTAAAGACGAATTAAATAACTTCAACACCGATAGACACCATGTATTTCTGCCCTTTTATTATCACGTATTCACCTCTCAGACGCTGCTGACCTTTCAACAGCCCCCCCCCATAACCACACGATGAAACTCGCTCACAATCATTCACACACCTTTTATACACGGATTCGACCTTGGGCTTACAATACATACACACACGGGGTTAACTCAACTCACACCCTCACTATCCCATCAGTTCCAGACTCTTCTAACTTATTCTAATCTAAACTACAATTAACCCGTAACATCACCCTTTTAAATATAACACTGATTTTAATATAACACAACTTCATTCTTCTTCGTTCTTGATATACAAAAGATCAACTGCTCAGTTGTTTCGAAATTCTCAAGCAATTTTTCCACAAGACAGCACAACATTTCCACAAGACAGCACAACATTTTTACAAGACAGCATAACATTTTTACAAGACAGCATAACATTTCCACAAGACAGCATAACATTTCCACAAGAAAGCACAACATTTCCACAAGACAGCACATCATTTCCACAAGACAGCACAACATTTACACAAGACAGCATAACATTTGCACAAGACAGCACATTTCCACAAGACAGCATAACATTTCCACAAGACAGCACAACATTTCCACAAGACAGCACAACATTTTAACAAGACAGCACAAAATTTCCACAAGACAGCATAACATTTCCACAAGACAGCATAACATTTCCACAAGACAGCACAACATTTACACAAGACAGCATAACATTTCCACAAGACAGCACAACATTTACACAAGACAGCACAACATTTCCACAAGACAGCACAACATTTCCACAAGACAGCATAACATTTGCACAAGACAGCACAACATTTCCACAAGACAGCACAACCCCCCCTCCCCCCTACTAGTGTGACGTCATTTACGGACGATCCCCAAACTCTAAACGTATCGGTTCATTCTGATTTGATTTATGAATGTAGTGGTACATTATGATCTAAACTCTCCTCCCCAGAAAAACACAAAGTTCCAGCGGAAAATCCCGAAGAACGCCGTAGCAACGAACATCCTAATCGGCGAGCTGACCTGCCTAAGACGACCCCTGATGGGGTTGGTCCGCCTCAACCCATCCCGTCACCTCGGCTGGCTGTGTGAGGTCCGTCTGGCCACCCAGTTTGTTTTCATCTGTTTGGTGCCTGACATCAAAAGCGAGACGAATTATGACGTCAGAGAGGTCGGCAGATGTATTGGTACTCTGATGATCGATCCGGTGAGTGACGTCACTGGCACGCGTCATGAGCGCTTGCGTGTCATATTTATTGCCTTGGATAAAAATGATTGTGTTTTTCTTTATCTGAATATGGTTTTAGATCTCACTGCCTGTAGAGTTAATTAGTGCTCTGACACTTATGGGGGATTTTATGTAGCTATGGTGTAATTTTTTTTTATTTTTATTTTTGCTGTAAAATCTGAGAAATGCTTAAAGTAAACATCATTAAAAAGAAGTGTATCAGATAGTTTAATATATGATAATGAAACACGACAGCACACAAGTACTTAGAAGTGCTACTAAAAGAAATACAAAAATAGATATACTTTAAAATTAATTTTAAATAAGTAATTTTACATTGTCAATTTTAAAGTTCTCATATTCTACAGTTTGAAATTACAAACCTTGATGTTTAAAACATGCAAAATCTTGAAGATGTATTATCAGCTGTAAAAGTAGCATTACCTCCCCTATAATATAAATCGTCTCCCCTTTCATACAGATTAATCTGCTTGAAATTTATGAAAATACACAACAGACATCTTTAAATCCTCTTTGCTCAATCCCATTATGTTTAAATAGCCAGGAACAGTGTGGTACGTAATCATTCCCACAAGCATAGAAAACCTCCAGACTAGATAAAAATGGAGTTTATAAAATGTAGGAGATTGGAGGAGTTTTAATAATCCGCTAATTAAACTTCTATTTTGATCTTAATGACGCTGTCTGACCTTAATTCTAATTTCGCTACACTAGTATTGATCTGATTAGGCAATTTTTAAAAACTAATTAGTTTAATGAACTTCAGGAATAAATTTAATGAACTTTGGGAATAAATTTAATGAACTTCAATGTAAAATGTAAAATGTAATGAACTTCAGGAATTTATTTTACCAACTATTGGAAAACAGTTATTTTAAAGATTTAGCAGTAGTTAAATAGAATTACATGAAATACGAGTAGGTATTATTTACGTTTTTGAAGAAAGGTTGATGTTTCGAACTTAAGCCTCCGTCAGATAAAACAAGCACTTAGTTAGCAACGTAAACATTGAGACGGCGTGGTAAAGTAGAGTGCTCGTTATATAAAGTAAAGAATCCTCTATAGCCTTAGCCATCCATTCTGCAGATGAAGAAGAGTTCATATGTTTCTTGACCTCGGCATATGAAGGGAAGACGTGGTCAGAACTATGCCCAGCCTCCATTACTTTCCTTAACCTGAGTTAGGTACACAATAGAGCTGGGTGATCTCAGGGACGTTCTACTGACTTGGACCCGGATTCGAATTCGCGACCTTCGAGTTAGCAGTCTAGCGCTACCGCTAACACTAACATGAAATCATTGTCTGAAATCTTTAATTAATCCTAACATAAGATTATTGTTCCAAATATTTAATACTAACCGTAACATCTACCGGAAATTTTTGTTGCAAATCTTTCGCCTCAACCTTAACTTAAACTTGAAATCTCACTCCATTTTTATTCACCCTAACCCTAACATAAACCTGAAACTATTTTTCTAAATCTCTCACCCAAACCCAAACCTAAAATCATTGTTCCTAATATTTCACCACAACCTTAACCTAAATATGAATCTGTTGTTTCAGAACTTTCTCCCCATTCTTAATCTAAACCTGATGTCCTTCCAAATCTTTCATCCCAGCCATAGCTTAAACCTGAACCCATTGTTCCAAATCTCTCACCCCAACCCTAACCAAAACCTAGACCCATTGTTCCAAATCTTCAACCCAACCCTAACCAAAACCTAGACCCATTGTTCCAAATCTTCACCCTAACCAAAACCTAGACCCATTGTTCCAAATCTTCACCCCAACCCTAACCTAAACCTAAACCCATTGTTCCAAATCTCTCGCCCCAACCCTAACCTAAACCCATTGTTCCAAATCTTTCATCCCAGCCATAACCTAAACCTAAACCCATGGTTACAAATCTCTCACCCCAGCCCTAACCTAAACCCATTGTTCCAAATCTTTGATCCCAGCCCTAACCTAAACCCATTGTTCCAAATCTCTCACCCCAACCCTAACCTAAACCCATTGTTCCAAATCTTTCATCCCAGCCCTAACCTAAACCTAAACCCATTGTTCCAAATCTTTCATCCCAACCCTAACCAAAACCTAAACCCATTGTTCCAAATCTCTCACCCTGCCCTAACCTAAACCCATTGTTCCAAATCTTTCATCCCAGCCCAAACCTAAACCTAAACCCATTGTTCCAAATCTTTCATCCCAACCCTAACCAAAACCTAAACCCATTGTTCCAAATCTCTCACCCTGCCCTAACCTAAACCCATTGTTCCAAATCTTTCATCCCAGCCCTAACCTAAACCTAAACCCATTGTTCCAAATCTTTCATCCCAACCCTAACCAAAACCTAAACCCATTGTTCCAAATCTTTCACCCTGCCCTAACCTAAACCCATTGTTCCAAATCTTTCATCCCAGCCCAAACCTAAACCTAGACCCATTTTTCCAAATCTCTCACCCCAACCCTAACCAAAACCTAGACTCATTGTTCCAAATCTCTCACCCCAATCCTAACCTAAACCTGAATCTGTTGTTTCAGATCTTTCTCCCCATTTTTAATCTAAATCTAATAACCTTGTTCCAAATCTTTCATCCCAGCCATAACCTAAACCTGAAACCCTGTTCCATTTTTTAACCCTAATCCCAGCCCAAACCTAAACCTAAACCCATTTTTCCAAATCTCTCACCCCAACCCTAACCCTAACCTAAACCCATTGTTCCAGATCTTCAGGGAGGTGGCTGAGAACTGTTCCAGCAGGTTCGAGCTCCTGGCTGGCATCTCTGAGTTTGTCAGCAACATGACTGCCCTGCCGTCTTGTGTCTGGGACTCCAACACCAGGATAGAACCCCCGGCCAGGATACCGTCACAGGTGGGGTCAGGGGTCATCCATGCATGACTTCACAAAACAGGAGGGAGGGGGTGGGGTCGATTTGTGCTAAATGGTATAGTGGTGTAAACATTATGTAATATTTTCAATGTCAAATGTGCCTAAGTATACCTTGCATTGAAAATAATACTTTATGTTTACATGTTTTTTATTGCCTATACCTGCTTCCAATCCCTCTAAATGAAGTCGGCTTAAGAAAATGTAATGTCACCCTCTTGCGACTTTACAACTGTATTGTAAAAGTTTGTTTCTCTTTGTTCCAAAAATATTTTTCGTAAAATGTATTTCAAATTCGCAATCTTTAACTGAATTAGTTAAAAGTGTCAGTAATAAAACGTGATTAACAATATTAATGAAAAGGAAAAAAATAAAAATTGGTGGGCGGGGAAAGTGAAGTGTGCAATGGGTGCATTGGACGCTTGTGATGATGAGTGACAATGGCTCTTCTTCTTCTTCTTCTTCGTTCTTAATTATTAGTGTTGAAGGGGATCGAGATTTATCTGCCAGTGGGTTTGAACTCGAGACTGTTCGAATGTATCAACCATGAGCTTTTTGCCGACTCGACCACGCCTCCAACACAATTAAGCATTACGTGTCAACTGGTTATGCGCCATTGAGGCCATTGACTCCGATTTCAGCCTGCTTTTCTTGTTGGATTTGCTTCCATAGCCTTTGTCCAACCAAGAACAAACTACAAGGCACTAGTTGTTTAATTTTGGAGTTGTCTCTCCTAGAAGAGTGGCTGTCCCCAGCTAACGAGCCACATCGAACGAGGGTTCGAACTCGAGACTTTTCGGTTTAGCAACCATGAGCTTTACCGACTCGACCACGCCGAACCCTTGACAATGGCTGGAGAGGGGTAAAAATGTGGGCGACAATTTCTTCCCGTGCCTTAATTTCTAATTTATTGTCCAACGTATTAAAATCCATCTTTTTAAGTTAAGTTAAGTTATTGTATAATTTCTCAAAATAAGTCATTAAATACTCTAATTATATCTGTATTTAGGACTTCAGAAGAATATCGAAAAAAACTCAAGAAGAAAAAGAAAAACATGTCGAGAACACAATGATCGAACATGAAGAAGAAGAACCAGAACTCAAAAGATCAGGAAGGTAGGTTTATGTTTCAAGAGGCTTTGAGATGTGATATTTTTTTTTGCGTTGGGCGAGAACACGATTTATCGACCGTTAGTTTTCTTGCACTTTTTGTCATTTATGCGAGTGTTTTGTTAAAGTAAATTCTATAAATGTAATCGTCTATGCAGAGAGTTGTACAGGCGATTTAAAATTTGAAATGGGGGAGGGGGGGAGTGGACGACACTTGTTGAAGTATATATTTTGTTTACAAATTCTATTTTGTTTTGGGGTGGGGGTGGGGATGGGCGGTTGACATGCTTCGATGTGGGGGCGGGGCAGCTCCCGAAGAGATGCCTGAAATAAACTCTGTACGTGTCTTGGGCACGAACGGGAAATGATGATGATGATGATCTTAATTCTAAAAAAAAAAGTATAGAAACACGTAGCTTAGGCATAAAAGTCACGCAACCTAAATGTAAAAAGAGATTGTTTACTATATAATCTACCCAGAGGCGTAGCGAAGGGAGGGGGGGGGGGGCAGGGGGTACATATGTCCCCGGGTGCCGACCTTAAGGGGCGCCAAAATGGGTTGGAAAAGCAAATTAAAATCTCATTTTAGCTGCATTTTTGCTTTATAAATATACAAAAAATATATGAGGGGGGGGGGGCGTGTGGAAATAGAAAGTTCGAGGGGGGGGGTGCAAATCGAAAATTGAAAGTTTGTCCCCGGGCGCCGGGAAGAGTCGCTACGCCTCTGAATCTACCTGACATCTGACTACAATGCACGCCGGTTCTCCCAGCATCCCCCCCCCCGGGTAAAATTCAGTCAAGGATAAGCTGTTAGGATAAATAACCAGGCACACTATGACTCGTGTTTTAGGGGGGGGGGGTCAGGTTCTGGCATAGTTTTACACCACGGTAACTAAGGCGGGAAGACAAGAGAACCAAACACATTTATAGCTGCCAGAACTATAAACAACATTTAAACTGCCTGAACCATTTTACCGACTTCCGGTACTTGCTATATTTAGTAGTTTGATCAAGGTGGGGTGGTCTGAAATGGGACTTTAACCATTACATATTGGTTAATCAAGCGCTAGTTCTACCCAGAGAAAACTGTTAGTTTGCTCTTGTTAAAAAAAATATATGGGATGTCGTTGTCGGATCGGGTTGTAGATTGTAAGTCTGAAAATCTCGATTTCGTGACACACACCATACTACATAAAAGACGATGGACATTACAAATTGACACGAAAACAACAATAAATAATCTTTAGACTCAGAACAGGCTACAACAGACTAAAACAGCACATGCATAAAAAACTTAAAGTTGGGTCTGGCGAAACTTGCCCTTGTGCCAAGGCCCCGGATAATACGGAGCGCACGTCCTTCAGGACTGTTGCGCGATCCAACCACTGGCCCCTACACAACTCACTCAAGGAAAAACTACATGGGGCACCCGCGGATCTGGAGACCACAGTCCAGTTCATACACGAAGTTGGGCTTTTTAAATCCTCCACCATACACTCAATTAAGAACGCAGAAGAAGTTTATAATCCTACTAATTAAAGTAAAGGATGCTGGGTAAAAAAATCCTGTAACTTGAACACAGTTTCTGATAGACGAAATTTAACGTCAAGGAAAATATCTAATTCTCTGTTTTCTGTCAAATATTGAGTAATTTCCGGTGACCGGGAGTAGTACTTAATGCTATTTCCGATTTCTCATAAAAACGATTTTCTTCGAGATTCTCTTCTAATTTAAAGTGTGTAAAAATTGATTAAAAAGCATGTCGATATACCGAGTTGCCGTCCCACGTTGTGTTATACAAGAATATTCGAGAAAGTTTAGGGGAGATCACTCCCACTTTAAAAAAAAATCTTAACAACTGCCGATGTTTTGTGTTGCAGACTATTTGGAGGGCTGATAGCAGACATAAAGAGAAAGCTCCCCTGGTACGGCAGTGATTTCAGGGACTGCTTGCACGTCCAGTGCTTCGCGTCAACCATCTTTCTATTTTTGGCAACACTCACCCCTAACGTGACGTTTGGAGGCCTGCTTGGGCAAGGGACAGAACAATACATGGTGGGTAGTTATCTTGTCCTTGTTCTATAGAAAATAAAATTAAGGGACAGAACCATATATGGTGAGTAGTTATCTTTTCATTGTTTTATAGTGAATAAAATTAAGGGATAGAACCATATATGGTGAGTAGTTATCTTTTCATTGTTTTATATTGAATAAATTTAAGGGATAGAACCATATATGGTGGGTAGTTATCTTTTAGTAAATTCAATTAAGGGATAGAACAATATAAAAACTGTGGTGGGTAGTTATCATCTCCTGGCGTGATGAATCTAACAAGGGAACAGAGAAACGCATGAAGTTTACTTATTTTTCTTTGTTAAATGGACCAAATCATGGGACTTAATTATACGAGGTGAGTTCAATTAGTACAAAGTACAGAACAACTTCGATTGTTTAGTTGTCTTTTCCTTATTTAATACTTCAACTATCCAAAGGAAAAATACTACAAAGATGTAGGCCTAAATGATAGATAAATGTTCGTTACAAACTTTGACTCTACCTAGCTACAAAAATACAAAGTAGTAATACGATCTTTTTAACCAACACTGCTATATAAACAAGAAGACAGATTGGTGCAATCATTTGAAATCATTGCTACAAAATACTAAGACACATTTTATTCCAATGTAGACTCTACCATTTATTTAGATAGCATTATTCACAAAATTGAATGGACGAGTAAACATTGGAGATTTATTTAGTGTCATGTTATTTTCTCTATAGTCAGGGCACTATGGAGTGTATTAGTTTTATGTTATTTTTCTCTATAGTCAGGGCACTATGGGTGTATTAGTGTCATGTTATTTTCTCTATTGTCAGGGTACTATGGAGTGTATTCTAGCTGCAGCCATATGTGGTGTTGTGTATGCGCTGTTTGCTGGCCAGCCAATGAACATCCTCGGCTCAACAGGTCCCATGTTGGTACTGGAGATGATCATTTTTCAATACTGCAAGTAGGTGTTATAGTTTATGTCATCAAGAAGGCGTTATAATTTTTATTATCAAGTAGGTGTTATAGTTTTTTATCACGTAGGTGTTATAGTTTTTTTTATCAAGTAGGTGTTATAGCTTTTTATCACGTAGGTGTTATAGTTTTTTTATCAAGTAGGTATTAAAGTTTTTTTATCAAGTAGGTGTTATAGTTTTTTTTAATAAGTAGGAGTTATAGTTTTTTTTATCAAGTAGGTGTTATAGCTTTTTATCAAGTAGGTGTTAATAGTTTTTTAATACGTAGGCGTTACATTTTTTTTATCAAGTAGGTGTTATAGCTTTTTATCAAGTAGGTGCTATAGTTTTTTTTATCAAGTAGGTGTTATATTTTTTTTCAAGTAGGTGTTATAGTTTTTTTATCAAGTAGGTATTAAAGTTTTTTTATCAAGTAGGTGTTATAGCATGTCTCATCAAGTAGGTGGTATAGTATTTTATCAAGTATGTGTTATAGTTTCTTATCAAGTAATGTTATAGTTCAACAAGTAGATGTTATATCTTGTGTTATCTAGTAGGTGTTATAGTTTATGTTATATTTTTTTATGTCTTAAATTAAGTTACAGTTTTGAAATAGTTTTTTTTAGTTTTTAAGTTGGCATTTGTCATATTTCAATTAAATGCTATTATCAGTATTTTCTTAAACTAGCAACTTTTTTTTTTTAAATTTAACATAAAAGTGTTTCTCATTCAATTATAGTTATTACACATGTGAATTTTGTTGTTGAATTAAAAATTTAAAACATTTTTTTCTTAAAATTTAAAGTTGCTTGTTATAGTCATCAAATCAGTGCCTTATATAGTTTTTCCATTATATTTGTATTTGTTATACATTTTTCATAATTTGAGTATCACTTAGATTTTGTCATAGTAAAATACAATTTTTTTCAGGGACCACGAATGGGAATTTCTGCCTTTCAGAGTGTGGATTGGTCTGTGGACGACCTTTATATTACTTGTTATCGTGGCCTTTGACCTCAGTTCTCTTGTAAAGTTTATAACAAGATTCACAGAGGAATGTTTCGCTTCTTTAATAGGAATTATTTTTATATATGAAGCTTTTGTTAAGGTAAGTCCTGCTTTTATAATATATGTTAAAGGGAAACTACTAAGCTGATTGAAAATGATAATTATTTTTATTTAGTATTAGGCCTATATGATTGTTTTAGGCCCTATAGAAATATAATTATGGTATTATATTTGTATGTAAAAATCATATACAATTTAAAAATATATAATGTATGTCATGATTCTACACAATGAATATTTTTAGAAAAACTTAATTAGAACAACCACACCATAAAATAAGTACTATAAAAGCTGTTCTTATACCATTAATGTTTAAACAATTGATTGATTAATACGCAGGTTTTTTAACGCAATTTCCATTCTGGAGAATTGCGTTTATTAACTCGTCATTTCTGGGAATGAATGGATATATCAGGGGTCGGCAACCTGCGGCTCGCGAGCCGCATTCGGCTCTTTTGGTGTCAAGGTGCGGCTCTTTAGCTCGGTGCACAATTATTAATAATTGTTTTATTTTATTTTTAAAACTCATAAAAGTATTAGCCTGCAGCACTCGGTAATGAACGATATAATAACAAATATAAACAAAAACACTCGCTATTCTACTAGAATATTTAGTTACTCCCTATTTCAGTGTACTTCCTTGTTTTCTAAAGCTGAGTTATTTAAATATAAAGAATGCCTATGTTTGGATCATATTCATCGAGGCACTGGTTACCTACACTACCGCCCACCACCATGGCGGGCTGTGTGAAAGACTTGAGTGTACGTTAATCACTCACAGTAATATCTCCGATAATCACTCACCGCCTAATTGTCGAGGACGGAAAGTGGCTGTCTCGTGAATCCGATTACACTACCGCAGTGGCGCTGCGTACGGCCCCTAGTGGATTTCCCGGAAAAGCCAAAAATCCTCGAAAAACTGCAGTTTTTGGCCCATATCTCGGCAACCAGACCACTTAGCGACTTGAAACATTTACCAATCGATTTCTGCCATAATTTAAAACAATATTGCCGAATAAAGTTTTCAAAAATATCCTTTCGTTCGGCCACAAAAAAAAATTAATTAAGAATTTTTAAACTGAGCATCGTGTAGGCCTAGGATGATTTAGCGCAAAGCGCTGAGGTTCGAAAGGATTTTACCATAGCGAATGAGCGGAGGTTCGAAAGGATTTTTTTTTCGACTGATACGGAAGGCTAGCCTGTCGCGACGTGGGGTCGAGAGAGAGAGAGAGAGAGAGAAGTCAAATACTGATATAAACGTTTTAATATTTGGGCACCGTTGCTGAATATATGATTTATCTCGATTTAAAATTGTTATGGATAACATAAGGAAATTGCGCTTAAATTGTCACTAGACTTTTTATTAACTTGTTTAATCATCTGTAGAGATATTTCTTTTCATACTAAGAATATTACTAAGGGCGTAAATTAAATTAAATTGAAGAATAATTTCTCTATGGGAGCTAAATTTATATAATGTTAACAAAGAATGAGTGGCAAGGGAGAGAACTGATAGTAATGTCAGATGGTTTTAAAAACTAAAACAGTATTACTTAATAGTTCAATTTATTCCTTTTTGGAAGAAAAAAAACTATTACTATATGTAATTTTCCAAAGTAAATTTGATCCACTGCCTTTAAACGTTATACTAAAACTTTACACCACTACCACTTTAACTAACGTGGTACTTTTTTCAGGTGATTAAAATCAGTTCCACCCACCCTGTCCATTTTGGCAGCATCAAGGACCTGCCAACATGCCCGTCTACGGAGCCCGCACCAAATGAAGGAAACAAATCCCTACTTCTGGCTCTAATAAACAACATCACCGACACCCTAACAGGCAACACCACAACACCGAGTTCATTGGTCAACTCCACCACCTGGCCAACCACAACAACGCTAGCCACGATAAACACAACAGGACATACTGGAACAAACTGCCACTCTTATGTGGGGGATGTTTTCTTTTTGTCCATTCTGGAGTTTTTGTTTACATTTGGTATAGCATTCTTTCTCGTCAAGTTCAGGAACAGCATATTTTTTCCTAATGTAGTAAGTGTTACTTTCATTCTGCTCTTACTTTTCTTGTCAGATAGTAGATGTTATAAATGTCCTGAATAAACAGCAAAAGGACAATGAAGAAAATTGTATAGCTTTGCAATTCAGTTATATAATATTTTTTACCCTACAATATTATAATTATTTCTAAAGCAGTAGGCCAATTAGAGCAATTCTTATGTAAATCAAAGACTTTAAAAAACTATATTTAAATACATTAAATAGTAAAGATGAATCTAAAAAACAAATAGATACATCTTAAAAAATGAAAAATAATATAGTAGTTTAATAGGCTTAAAAATATTTTTAAATGAAAGAAAAGGTTTATCTTTTAACTTTTACCTATACTTTGGTTTTCTGTTATTTTATTTATTTTATATGCATTAGGCCTATATTAAATAAGCAAACAATTTTTACAATTTTGAACTTTTCAGATTAGGCAAATGTTAAGTGACTTTGGTGTTCTAATAGCTATAGTGGTTGTGGTTGGTGTGGATGCTGCTCTCAATATAGACACACCCAAACTTACTGTGCCTGATAAATTTTCTGTAAGTAGACTAATACAGATTTTATTTACAATAATTGATCATTTTTATAAAACAAAAAGTAAAAAGTAATACCCTCTTTAGTGGGATATGGAAAATTACTTTTTTCTGAGAACATCTGCACACGTGACATGTAAATTTGTACACTATCAAGTCATCTATAAAGTGGTTTATAGATAGTGGAGTTCATTAATTATAATGACTTATGTATAGGCCTAGCTTAAAATAATAGCTTTATTCAAAAATACTTTTACCACTTTGCCATTGACTGGTAGTGCACTCTGTGAAATCAGATAAATGTTAAGGGCTTTGTGATCAATCTATTGTCTTTTTTTAAGTCCCTCAAACATTTCACAATGATAAATAGTTCATAAATGATTTCATCAATTATCTAAAGATATTGAACCAGAGGCGTAGCTAAGGCGGGGGTGGGGGGTGGACCACACCGGGTGACACCATTTAGGGGGGGGGGGGGGTGACACCAAGGTAAAAAATTGCAAAATTACAGAAAAAAAATGCTTTTTCGCCAGTTCCATTAATGATCAATTAAAGTCAAATAGTCTTTTAAGTACAAATTGACAATTATTACAAGGGGCTGGGGTATCACCATGACGTAAACAAGCTAACTTTAGAGAAAACACCGCTATTAGTAACAGACTAAAGATAAACATCATTACTCATAAGTCTGCAGTGATTAAATCTTATACACATACATGTATGGGTATATATTAAAATTATAGACTTATGTAGGCCAATATATATATATATATATATATATATATATATTTAATATATATATATATATATATATATATATACTTTGTTTCTTGGGGGAGGGTGACACCACCAAGTGTCGTACCAGGTGACACCCCACATAGCGACTGTATTGAACACCGACCAACTAATTTAATGGTTAATATTATTTCTTTAAGCCGACACGTCCCGACCGTGAGTGGTTTATTGGCCCAATCCACCCCAAAAACCCATGGTGGCTGGCCATAGCTGCTCTACTACCTGCACTGTTGGCCACCATTCTTGTCTTCATGGACCAACAGATCACAGCCGTCATTGTCAACAGGAAGGAACACAAATTAAAAGTTAGTGAAACTTTTTAATCTTCTATTCTTTTCTTTTATATTTTCTTCAACATAGTTACGGATTTAGTGTCACCATGTTATATTCCAATATTTCAGTCATTAATTAAAATTAGATCTATAAATGATACAATTATGATTGATTTAACTGATATAGGACTTATTTATTAGTTTAACAGTCCTTAGTTTTAATTTTTTTTAAATCATCCTTACATTCATTATTTCATTTTACCTAGCAGCCAATTAGTGACTCATAAGGTCATTCAAATACTCTCTCAGAGCACATAATGTTATATAAATATAAAGAAATAGTTTTTTTCAAACAATGCAAAAAAAAGACAAATTATTCTTGAGAACATATTTTCAACAGGGAAGATGAAGTAGAGCTCATCTGTTTCTGTGAATATGTTGAGTGATAATCTGGTCAGTTCTATATTACTTTGTCCTGACTTTCCATAATGTGAGTCAGGTACCCATCATTGCTGGTTAGACTAAGCCTGAAGGCACATGGGGAAGTGAAGTATAGTCCACCTGTTTCTCTGACCTGGTGTATGAAGGGATAGTATGGTGTCCAGCTGCCTTTACTTTCTTTAATGTGAGTTAGGTACAGAGTTTCTTCCAGGCATCTCTTTGGGGGGCAAAGACCCCCCCCCCCCCCCAAAAAAAAATTTCTACCGCAACCCAAATGAAATGAAATTTATATAATTTAGATAGAAAATATATACTTTTAACAGTGTCTGCCCCCCCCCCCCCCGAAGAAAGTCTACAGCCCCCCCCCCCCCCTGAAAATTTCAAGTGCCCCCCCCTCGGAAAAAAAAGTCTGGAAGAAACACTGGTTGGGTATCCATATCCATCAGAGCTGGGTGGATGCAGGGACATTCTACTGAATTGAACCCAGATTCAAACACAAGACTTTTGGGTTAGCAGTCAAGTGCCCTACCACCCAGCCATGCCATCCCACAACCTTTACAATGCTAAAACAAAATGTTCAATTATTCTGTTTTCTAGAAAGGCTGTGGCTACCACCTGGACATCATGGTGTTGGCCATCTTGATCACAGTCATGTCTGTGCTTGGTTTACCTTGGTATGTTGCTGCTACAGTGTCAGCTCTTGCCCACATCATGAGTTTAAAGGTAACTTAAAAACTTGTCTCTATCAGCACATTAACAAAACAAATTCCTTTTCCTCTAAACTCATTTTTTTTAAATGCTTTAAGACTGGCTATTATTATAGAGTCTTTGATTTTTAACTCTTGTAAAAGAAAAATAATTAAAAATTAAAATAGATTGTCTTAATATACAAATGCAATTTTGAAAATTCCCATCCTCCCCCCATCCCCCAAAGTTACATGAAACCAGAACTTATATATATATATATATATATATATATATATATATATATATATATATATATATATATATATATATATATATATATATATATATATATATATATATATATATATATATATATATATATATATATACATATATATACATATATATACATATATATACATATATATACATATATATATATATATATATATATATATATATATATATATTAGTTTCTTTCATGAAACTGATTATATGTTTTTTACCTTTACATTGAAATCAAAAGTGCTTATTCTTGAAGATTTGAGTCTGCTAAATATATATGCAAACAGGAATTCATTCTTTGATGATTTCTGACATTCATAGTCCTATTTTATGTACATTCTAACAATTTTTAAATTTAATTTTTACATTAGTTACATTTATTTTATGAATTAAAAAAAAAGAAAATATTTTTCCTCTGAAGGTTGAGTCAGATTGCACAGCTCCAGGAGAGAAGCCAGAATTTTTAGGTGTCAGAGAACAAAGAGTTACTTCCCTGCTTGTTGGTATCCTAAGTGGCTTATCAGTTTTCTTGACAGGAGTTTTAAAGGTTAGAATTTTTTTTTAAATCTTATCAACCATCTTTATTTAAAGTTTAGAACAAAGTTTAAAAACTGTACCTTAATATTATTCATTGTAGTTTTTAAAAAAAAGATAAATAAATAATAATTTAATGTATTTCAATTATTTTTTCCTTAGTTTATTCCACTTCCAGTGTTGTATGGAATTTTCCTGTTTATGGGTGTCAGATCACTAGAGGGAATGCAGGTAAAAAACAAACATTATAATTTAACCAAAAACTAGTTTTGCCTCATATAAAATCATCTACAGTAGTTGAGTTGAATTTAAATGCTAAACACTAAAGCTGGTGATGTTTTGTTAAAAAAATGTTTCAATACAGTTTTGAAACAGCTTTCCAATTATGTTTAGATCAATATTTTAAAAAATTATTTAAATAACTTTCTTATAAAATCATGTGTGGTTTTCTCTTGTCTGCAGCTTGTGGATAGATTTATGTTGTACCTGATATCCCCTAAGTACCAGCCAGATTATCCATACCTACGTCATGTGCCTTTACTGAGAGTCCACATCTTCACACTAATCCAAATCTTGTGCCTTGCTGGACTCTGGATCATCAAAGCTTTCAAGGAGACCTCCATTGGTTTTCCAATCATGGTATGAAAAATTATACCTTAGTTGTTTTACAAAATAGTATGATTTGGAAAAATTTAACTTTCATGGTTTACCCAAAAACAGAATAGAAAAAAAAAATACTTTCATTGGTTTTTCAATAATGGTATGGAAAAATTATATCTTAGTTGTATTAAAAATAGTATAGTAAAAAAAACAGAATAGAAAAATATATTTTCACTGGTTTTTCAATAATATTATGGAAAAATTATACCTTAGTTGTTTTACAAAATAGTATGATTTGGAAAAATATAACTTTCTTGGTTTACCCAAAAACAGAATAGAAAAAAAAAATACTTTCATTGGTTTTTCAATAATGGTATGGAAAAATTATATCTTAGTTGTATTAAAAATAGTATAGTAAAAAAACAGAATAGAAAAATATAACTTCTTTGGTTTCCACAATTAAAAAAAACAGAATAGAAAAATATATTTTCACTGGTTTTTCAATAATATTATGGAAAAATTATACCTTAGTTGTTTATAAAATACTATGATATGGAAAAATGTAACTTACTTAGTTTAAAAAAAAGAGTAGAAAAAATATACTTTCATTGGTTTTTCAATAATACTTTGAAAAAGTATATTAGTGTTGTTTTTTTTTGTTTTTTAAATGTTTTGAAAATATGAACCTTCCTTTATAGTCCAAAACAAATGTATAACCATTGGTAACTTAAATTTATACCTTTTTTGGATTCCTCAAAACAATATTGAAAAAATATATTTAGCACTGTGTCCAGTTTTCTTTATTTCCCTAATGTGAGCCAGGTACTAATTAGAGCTGAGTGGACTCAAGGGACTCAGGTTAGCTGTCATAATCTCTCCCATCCAACCACACCATCCTCAATTAGTAAATGTTGCTCTCAAATATTAATCTGAATGTTTTTTCCCCACAGGTTCTTGCTACCTGTTTTATCAGAAAACTTCTGGACTGTTTCTTTACGCAGTACGAGCTCAGTTGGCTAGACCACATACTCCCTCCGCTCTCTCCGAAGAAAACCAAGGTAACATTTAACCAGGTTATCACCATGGAAACCAAAAGAAAATTTAGCCTGTTCCGCAAGCCAGTTGCTAGGCCACCATCCCCATTCCCAAAAGAGGAGCCGCCTATGAAACTGAAGATGAAACGGGATGTAGAAAATCGTTTTCATGAGGGCAATGAAGATTACATTATGTGATAGTACAATATTTGTTACAGTTGATTTACATTCACATTTTCACATACATTCCATTCACTAAAAATGGGTACATCTTAAATAGGAAAAATATACAATTGGTTGACATTACATTATTATTGCTCAAGTTATAAACTGAATTTACTTGTTAGCTTGTTGCTGATTAAAATAGATACAGGTGCAACACCTTTGTACAGCAAAACACATGACAAATATTGTTTATATCATAATATGAAAACTATGCTATAACATCATATTTTACATAATTACAAAAGTTAATTTTAGTTTATCATACATTATGCCATATAACAATTTAAAAGTTATTGTTTATTTCCATTAGAATGTTATACTAACTACTTAAAATTTATAATTCCCTAATAACAAATTAATTTTCTCAATATACCAAAGTATCACTTACCTTTAATTTAACCACTTATATTACCATTCCCAATATAGATAATACACGGAAATAACAAAAATATTAACATAATTAATGTCGGTATATGTGCATGAGAAGTATTACTTATAACAAACTTGATTTTAACATTCCTCATACTACCAAGTTCCTTCAGAAAAAAAACCTTTCTGGAGTGTTTAAGATTAATCCTAAACAATATATAAACTTACAATCTTAAAAAACATTGTACAAGTTCTAGTATAAAAGTCTTAGTTTGAAATTGCAGCACTGCTTAAATATTTTTTTAATTCTTTGAAAGTTTTGAAACCCTATAACAAAAATACAATTATATAAGATAATAATTAGAAGTAACTATTCAATGCAAGCTTAATGAAGAACAGTAAATAGTTTTCAAACTAAATTAAAAAAATATTTTCTATGAAAATTTATAGAAATTAGTAGGGCCCAAACACTACCACAGTCTTATAACAGAACTTACTCAAATTGATGCTTGGAAAACTTACAGAGTGCATTAAAAATGCCAAAATAAATGTTCAGTGTATTTGATAAGGTTTTGATAAGTTCATTTGTTTTTAATTAAGTAGAAAGATTTTTTTTCTCTTTTGCTCGAAAATATATTAAAATACAGAAGGGTTTAAAAAAAATTTAAACTATATAAACAAGAACAAAGTCATATGAAATATATTTACTGTCATAATTTGTTCATAATTCTAATAGGGAAGTCAACATTTTTTATAAATTGGAGGGTTTTTACTTTTGAGTGAGGTATATCTGAGATGTAGGCTTATAAATTAAGGGTAAATCATCATCTTATAATATGTAATGCAATTGAAAAGCTGAAATGAAGCAAAAATACATTTGTAAAAATAGTTGAACATAAAACCCAAAATAACATAAATAAATCACTGAATTTCACAAAACATTCCCTTTTCCATATTTGATTTTTAAAATTTGCCATCCATTTTCATCAGGGTAAACCATCTCATGTAGTTGTGCAGCAAAGTTTAATGTTTCCTATGGATTACTATCTTTTTGCAGAATTCTACGTCCTACTCCCCAAATGAAAGGCCCAATGGCATTGTGCCTGAAATCAGTATCGACCAACCCATTGAGATGATTGCCCATAGTGATAGCAGCATTGGCCCAGACCACAGCGACAGCCACCATAATTCTAATGGTCTCCACCATTTTAAATCTGCTGAACAGGGAAACAACTCTCACAATTCTGTTGATCACTCTGATGTTAGAGTAATCATCAGCTAATCAAAATTTTTAACCAAGACATGAAGTTTAATTGTAAATATAAATTTCATTGGTGATTTTTGTTTCACAAGCAGGAAAAAGTTTAATCAAAATCCACAGAAAGGTCTTTCATTAATCAAAACAAAAAAATTCCATTTATATTGAATGTGACAAAAATCCTTGTTCTTAAAATAATGTTGAATCTGATTTTAAAATTATTAAATTATGCTTATTATTGTTTGTTTAAAATAATTTTTGCAAATTATATTCATTAAAGATAAATGAATATCAAAATGAAAAAAATTAGATGTTAAACAAACATTAAGACTCAGATAAGATCAACAGCAGATGTAATACATGCAGAGAAACTAAAAATTGAAGTTAAAACTGGATCTGTCAAATTTAAAAATCATGTTGAAATATAGATGTTGCTATTACAAAGCCCAATTACCGACTCTATTCCATTTTAACCATTATAGTTTTTATATTTCAAATCATAAATTAAGATGAATCTCTGTGTATGATTAAGACTAAACTTTTTAAACAATGGCAAGTCCAACTGTGGTTCTAGAGGAGCAGTTGTGGACCCTACCTACCTTTCATCATTCACTTTTACATTATAACACTAAAAAATCACAAAACTATGTAATTAAGTGATAGCTTGCATAATATTCAAATGCTAATTTCAAAAGACAATATTTTACTGGTTTTGTTATAGTCTAGAAGGGAATCAATTTATTCAATTAATTATTCATTAACCATCTTTCCATAAGTGTAACTTTTTTTTAACCATTTTATACATTTAAGCTAATTAACAATGTATATCATATAAGTAATTAATTAATTCACTGCATTTAAGTTCAGCTTACTTATGTTTTATATTTTTTACCTTTCATGACAAAAAGAACTAATTTTGCATGCAATAAATAATACATTCTAACCAGGAGTAAATTTTGCTTTGCTTTCGATTTGCTTCTACATAATTATTCTCTTAATGCTTAGCAGGGTGTATAGGCTTATATTCCAATATAGATACATTCAAACAGAGTCCTATGTTTAATTATTATCTTAATGAAATGTTTTAAAAACATATTTCACATGTCTAGGAAATGTTCATGTTCTTCAACATTCCTTTTGATTGATTGTTTCAGATTAATTGCCTTGTAAATAGAACTTAACTTGTACATAGTGTAAAAATGTTGAGTATGTGTTAGTGTTAATTTCATGAAAAATCATGATTAAATATTAGCTGACATGAAGTTACTTTAAAAGTTACTCATCTGGAACCCTCCGTAAAAAAAACTACTTTATTTATGTTATTTTTATGACAGAAATGTTTAATGTTAGATTTAGGGAAAGTTTGTATTTCTAATTACTTTGTGCTTTCATCCCAAAAATTAATTTAACAAGTGTGATAGTTACTTTTAGAAGGAAAGAGATTTGGGAAGGGGGGTAAGGTTTTAAACAAGGTTTCAAATTTTGTAGTACGAGGGTATGTAGCACAAACAATAAGAATAATAATGATGAATAAGAGCAGTATTTCAATTAATTTTTTTAGATTTGATTTTAGTTTAACAGCAATATCACATTGTTTACAAGAAACTTAAATGAACCTAACACATGGTTATTCACTTTGTTCAAATTTAAATATTTTGTTCAACTTTAATTGTTTTCAAACATAGATTCTAAAATTTGAAATTGCTCATTGCTAGTTATAGAATAGAATATATTGAAGTATAATATGAAGCATATAGTATGTAGAATAATGTATAAAAACAATAGGGGCTAAATTATGTCTAAAAGTATTATTGAATGAAAAAGCTCATTCAAAATATCAAAATAAAATTGTATTTTCCTAGTTTTGTAATCAAGAAATCTTTTTTTTGGATATTTTCAAGTTATTTTTTTTTTACTTAAAGTAAAAATAAAATAATAATTGTTAAAAAAATTAAAATAATAAAATAGTAAAATAAAATAATACACTAATAATTCAGTGAAAATAAAATCTATGTAGATCAGAAACTGATATTAACTTTCCGTTTCTGCTTAAGAAAGATTATATGTACTGATGTAAGTACTAGAAGTATTTTGTTTTGATTTTCCCAATTAAAATTTTTTTTTGTTATAGCAATGTATAAAGGGCTTCCAATATGGCAAGAAACATTATTAATGTACATAACATTGCAATAATCATTTACTTGATTATTGAGAGTGGAAAATTATATTTCCTTTTTGTTTATTAAAAATATTTAATATATTGGTAAACATAGGCTTACTAACATAATTATTGTAGGGGTCATCAATAAATGACGTCATGCTTTTTAAAAATGATTTATACCCACTCCCTACCTACCGTCACTCATCGTCACAAAGCCATACTCCCCCCCCCTAAAATGATGTCACATCTCAGCCTACCCCCCCCCCCCCCACTTTCCCCTCCTAAAATGACGTCACATCTCAGCCTACCCCCCCCCCCCCCCGCTCAAAATCTTATTTCTAATATAGCAACTAAAGATATATTAATGAATTTCAAAACAGTTTTAAAAAAAAAAGAAGTAATGGCAAAAAATTACTTTTAAAAAATGCAATAGTGTAACGTCACACTTCTGACCACCCTCCCTCACATCCGCCTGATTACACATCACAAAATTCCGAACCCCCCCCCCCCCCCCCCATCTCCCACTTAGGAGTATGACGTCATTTATGGACTACCTTTGAAGGCCTAAAATGTTAACTAAAAACGAAATATATATCCTGCATTATTCAAGACATTTTTGACATTGTGATCTGTTTGATTTATTTTATTTTGTTTTCCGACTCATCACAAGCTTGCCGTCATGACATTGTGAATATGCAAAATAACTGGATTTTTTAAAAATACATTAAAATCTTCTATAAACAGTTTGTTTATTATAATGTGTACATTGTTTAAATTATTAATTTAATTTAAAAGGAAATAAAGAGAGTGTTTATTTAAAAATATGAAATTATTTGTTTCGTTTTTAAATCATATTAGATATTTCATTCAGGCATAAAAAATAAGTAATCTTCTTAAACGTAGCGATCCTTTGGACAGATAAGGTAGAGTTCATGTTTCTTGACCTCAGCTTATAAAGGGATTATGTGATCAGTTCTATGCCCGTTCGCTTTTACTTTATATAAACTGAGTTAGGTACCCATCCGAGCTGGGTGGACTCAGGGACGTTCTACTGAAATTGACCCGGATTTGAACTCGAGACCTTTCGGGATAGCAGCCAAGTGCTCTACGGTTTGGGGCCAGGCAGAAAAAGACTTAAGTAATTAAAAACGTCATTGTTTTTTTTATAAATGTCTTTAAATGAATTTTTAATGACTAGTTAACGTTTTTATTCGATTGAATATAAGATATAATTGCACTTAGTAATATGTTAAAATCGAGTAGCGAGATTTGGACAAACAGACAGACAAACGTACATTGTGACCTATGAAAAAGATTTTAAAAAGAAAGTCAAGCAACACAATATCATTTTAAAGTTTAATTGTTTGATTTTTAAGTACAAAATAAACTTAACGAGAAAAGAGCTAGATTTCTAATGCAATACCAAAATGTCCTTATGGTATCACATTATCGCAACACATAGTAGGTCCATATCTCTCACAGTGTATTTTTCCATGCATCACTTTGGTGTGGTGTCCCTCCCCGGAAGCACCTTCGCCCCCCCCCCCCCCCCACCTTCCGAATGAAACATAATTTATATAGAAAATATATACTTTTACCAGTACCCCTCTTCCCCTCCCCCGGAAACTTTAGACTCCCCCTCCCCCCCCCCCCCCCCCCCACCTTCCGAATGAAACATAATTTATATAGAAAATATATACTTTTACCAGTACCCCTCTTCCCCTCCCCCGGAAACTTTAGACTCCCCCTTTCCCCCCCCCCCCCCCCCCCCCCGCCTTCCGAACGTTTCAAGCACCATGCACAGAAAAAAGGTCTGATTAAAGAATTAATCCATTTTGCTTCATTTTGGTAATCTGACTTAAATCCAATCTGAACTGTTCATTTTTATTTATAATAGCACATTTTAAAATTAATTAAAATTACATCTCAGTGGATTTTTCTAAACCCTCAACGTGTTGAATACTCACATTTATTTTTCACAATTTGTCCCATAGTTAGTTCTTGTTTTTAAAGAACCACCGAAATAGCATACTATATCGGATACTATTTTTTTAAAATTAAAAATAAATAAAACAAAATTAGATTTAGGTCTAATAGCTTCGCATTTGAACCTCGCTGAAATAGATCAACGAACAATTGCATCTTTCTCGCAAATGAAGTAGGTTGTATAAGCTTCAGGATTCATCGAGCATGGAATATCCGCCATCTTGATTCCATCTGTCTCCGAATGCCACAAAGCTAAGCAGTTCTTGGCCAGTCCACCGTGAGGCTGGTCAGGCCCCCAGTCAAAGTACGTAACTCGCGTGTTGCTGTGTCCGTTGATCCACTTATTCTCCAGGGATTTGTCATTGGCACCTGTAAGGACGGTGTCTCCTGGTTTGGTCTCCGTGTTTACATAGCTCCGTGGAACGAAGACGAGGCTACATAAGCTTTATAAATTACGAAATGTGTGAAACGATGCTTATTTATTTTGAGCTTCAACTTGACTAGCAATCAGTGTTTCTTTCAGGTATCTCTCCATGTGGCATCATCCTCCACCATCCCCAGAACACATCAACTTCCCCCCTCTCCCTCCCCCCCCCCCCCCCCCCGCGGACGACACTGTTAAATATAGAATGCAGAAAGACAATACAGGCCTCTGATTCAACAGCATACGCCCCATCTCCCTACCGGACAGAGTTTCTTCCAGGCATCTCTTCGGGGGGTCGAAGCCCCCCACTCCGAAAAAATGTTACCGCTCCCCCCGCCCCCCCCGCCCCCCCCCCCCCCCCCCCGAACGAAATGAAATTTATATAATTTATATAGAAAATATATACTTTTAACAGTGTCCGCCCCCCCCCCCCCCCCCCCCCCCCCCCCGAAGAAAGTCTACCGCCCCCCCCCTCCCTAAAATTTCAAGTGCACCCCCGGAGAAAAAAGTCTGGAAGAAACACTGCTACCAGAAATTTCGAGCCTTCAACCCCGGAGTAAAAGTTCTGAAAGAAATCTTGGTAGAAAGGATAGAAAAGTTCTAACCGCAAAAACATTTTAAAATATAATCATTTCTCTTTATATCTCTTCTTTCAGCATGCAGTAACGTTTATGTAGTTTGTTGTTATACTTTTTCGCACAACTCCGATGCTCCCCAATCCCCTCCCCAAGAGATGCCTAAATAAAATTCTGCTAAAACACACAGCATAAAGTCGTTGATCTTGGAGCTTAAACAATATTAACAATGAGTGCCAACTATAACTCCCCTCTGCTATTCAATTCTATCGTCTATACCTGTATCATCATCTACTCCTCACCTGGATGATCAGGTACTTTTCACCTGTAAGATCAAACACCTCTTACCTGTAAGATCAAACAACCCTTGCCTGTAAGATCAAACACCCATTACCTGTATCATCAAGTACCCCTCACCTGTATCATCAGGTACCCCTTACCTGTATCATCAGGTACCCCTCACCTGTATCATCAGGTACCCCTTAACTGTATCATCATGTACATCTCACCTGTATCATCAGGTACCCCTCACCTGTATCATTAGGTACCCCTTACCTGTATCATCAGGTACCCCTTACCTGTATCATCAGGTACCCCTTACCTGTATCATCAGGTACCCCTTACCTGTATCATCAGGTACTCCTCACCTGTATCATCAGGTACCCCTCACCTGTATCATCAGGTACCCCTTAACTGTATCATTAGGTACCCCTTACCTGTATCATCAGGTACCCCTCACCTGTATCATCAGGTACCCCTCACCTGTATCATCAGGTACCCCTCACCTGTATCATCAGGTACCCCTTAACTGTATCATTAGGTTCCCCTCACCTGTATCATCAGGTACCCCTTACCTGTATCATTAGGTACCCCTTACCTGTATCATCAGGTACCCCTCACCTGTATCATCAGGTACCCCTCACCTGTATCATTAGGTACCCCTTACCTGTATCATCAGGTACCCCTTAACTGTATCATTAGGTACCCCTTACCTGTATCATCAGGTACCCCTCACCTGTATCATCAGGTACCCCTCACCTGTATCATCAGGTACCCCTCACCTGTATCATTAGGTACCCCTTACCTGTATCATCAGGTACCCCTTAACTGTATCATTAGGTACCCCTTACCTGTATCATCAGGTACCCCTCACCTGTATCATCAGGTACCCCTCACCTGTATCATCAAGTACCCCTCACCTGTATCATCAAGTACCCCTTACCTGTATCATCAGGTACCCCTCACCTGTATCATCAAGTACCCCTCACCTGTATCATCAGGTACCCCTTACCTGTATCATCAGGTACCCCTTATCTGTATCATCAGGTACCCCTTACCTGTATCATCAGGTACCCCTTACTTGTATCATCAGGTACCCCTCACCTGTATCATCAGGTACCCCTCACCTGTATCATCAGGTACCCCTTAGCTGTATCATCAGGTACCCCTTAACTGTATCATCAGGTACCCCTCACCTGTATTATCAGGTACCCCTCACCTGTATCATCAGGTACCCCTCACCTGTATCATCAGGTACCCCTTACCTGTATCATCAGGTACCCCTTAACTGTATCTTCAGGTACCCCTCACCTGTATCATCAGGTACCCCTTACCTGTAAGATCAAACACCCCTTACCTGTATCATCAGGTACCCCTTACCTGTATCATCAGGTACCCCTTACCTGCATCATCAGACACCCCTCACCTGTATCATCAGGTACCCCTTACCTGTAAGATCAAACACCCCTCACCTGTATCATCAAACACCCCTCAACTGTATCATCAGACACTCCTTACCTGTATCATCAGTACCCCTCACCTGTAAGATCAATCACCCCTCACCTGTATCATCAGGTACCCCTCACCTGTATCATCAAACACCCCCTCACCTGTATCATCAGGTACCCCTCACTTGTATCATCAGGTACCCCTCACCTGTATCATCAGGTACTCCTCAAGACTATTAATCTCCAGAAGATACCCCCCAAGTCCTGATCGACAAACTTCTGCAGCTTTCTCATCACTGGGTGACTGGAACTTGGACATGTAGTAGCTGGTTGGGTATTCAAACAGAATTTAAAAATATAAATAAATTTAAAAAGTGCTTTAACGCTACTTTGTTGATTGCGACGGTTAGCTTTTAATGTACTGGATGGGCTGTTAAAAAAAAAACCCAGATGGTATCACAAGAATTGCGCTGAAGTGGACGCTCAAAGAGACGTGGAGACACTCAACAGAAAAACAACTGACAAGTCTTAAGGCACTGAAAGAAAGTGCCAGAGATCTGCAATGCTGGAAACAGCTTTATGTGGCGGCCCCATGCAGTGTTTCTTCCAGACTTTTTTCGCCGGGGGATGGGGGGGGGGCGAGGGGAACTTCATATTTTCGGGGGTGGGGATCCGGATTAAAACATCCGGGGGGGGGGGGGGGGGGGGGGACGACACTGTTAAAAGTATATATTCTCTATGCAGTGTTTCTTCCAGACTTTTTTCTCCGAGGGGGGGGGGACTTCAAATTTTCGGGGGTGGGGATCCGGACTAAAACGTTGGGGGGGGGGACGACGACACTGTTAAAAGTATATATTCTCTATATGAATTCCATTTCGTTCCTCCCCCCCCCCCCCCCCCGATGAGATGCCTGGAATAAACTCTGGCCCCATGTGACCTAGGCACTGAATGGAAAAGATAATGCTTTAAATAGTTAATATTTCACTTTCATTTACCTCCGATTTAAAAGCAAGTAATAAAATTAACAACACACGCATACATACACATAAATAATAAATATTATTCATTAAAATGGAAAAACTATTTCTTGTCTAGTAAATTATAAAATGTGGTGTGTCCCCCTCCCCCATCCCAGACATGTATTGAAGAGTCAGTTATTACAAAATTCTCAACAAAAACTTTTTCGATGGGCACATTTTGCAACGTTTGGTTTATTAACTCCCGATGATAAATTTAATTTGGGAACAGAAAACACTAACGATGTTTATCTGTAGTCAGTTATTAATACAGCTGGATGTAGCAGGTTTACGTCATTGTGTCACCCCCCCCCCCCCCCACACACACACCCTTGTCGAGATTTGTCAACTTTGCTCTAGAACATCTATTTAACTCTAATGAATCATTTATTTAACTGGAATGATCAATTTTTTTCTGAATATATTTTTCTGTTTTTTGCCTTGGTGTCACCCGGTGCGATATGCACCCCCCCCCTCGCTATTACTCTGAGGGCTGCGTATAAACAAAGCGCTACATACGACGAACTGCCCCCTGAGAAGTGTCCACGCACTGGCTCATGGAAGATGTAAAACAAGAGGGTTAGTTTTTCCTCCGTAAGATTTCGATTGGCTTCCCGCAGTTCCTGGTTCTCAAATATTGCGTTGCTCAGCCTGGGGAAGTATAGTTTAGGGGTGTATAACACACATACACATATGTACACACAGAAACGCAAATACCTTCAAGACCTACTGTATTTGTAAGTTTCTTTTATATACACCAAATGTTTGTGTATATACATATATTCTAGAATACGAAACACACACACACATATATGGTGTGTGTGTGTAAATAAAAACTATTATATACATCTATAATAGTTTTTATTTACACACACACACTCCATAATATATAAATATACGTGTGTGTAAATAAAAACATAACAACATTTAAAACAAAAATGCTAAACAAATTTTGTCTAAAGACACCAGATATCTAGAATCTAAACACAATTACGCTAGAAACGAAATAAAGAACCCATCAAAACACTTCCTCTACACACAAACCCTACAATAAACAAGACCCTGCAATAAACAAGACTCTACATTCTACAATTAACAAGACCTACTCTAGCATCAGCTCCGTCCTTGTCATGTTGTTGTCTACTACGATACTGGTGGGGGTTTTAGCAGAGACCGTCACGACAACCGTGTCCCCGAAGTTGTTGAGGAAGTGGGTGTCGCACATGTAGTCTGTCAGCTCGCCCGTGGAGGGGAAGTTCCACGTGACAGACAGGTACTTAGAGTCGTCGTAGAAGGCACCTGGTGAAGTTGATTAGTTAAAATATTAAGGATCTATTGTTCAAAATTCAATTGCTTAATCGTCTACTCATCTGATATCTTTGCACCAAAATCACCAAATACACTAGCCCAGTCATTATATATCTATTAGGCCCTTCTAAGAGCTCTACACAGGATGTACCAGCAACTGACCTTTGACCTCAGCGCCGTGTATGGCACTGTCCAACCTCGGGGTGTCGGGATGGAAGGCTGTGATGGTTGCCACGTTTTTACTGAAAGGTAAAAGAAACGGTGAAATTATTTTTCGTTTCGTCATGGTACGCTTGACTGATGTTCGACTAAACTCAACCTCAAACTAAACATAATTGTAATGTTTTTGTAAGGTTTTTGTAAGGTTTTTGTAAGGTTTTTGTAAGGTTTTTGTAAGGTTTTTGTAAGGTTTTTGAAGATCAATATACTTTTTTTACATCCTTTAAAAGTTATTTTTTTTAAATTTATGCGCAATCGAATTCTTGTTTCTGAATCATTAGGTAAATGAATAAGTCTTCCTTTGTAACAAACTGAAACTATTTATAAAGAAAGTTCACATTTTTCACTAAAACCCCTCGTTCTAACCGTTGATTCTGTTATTTCGTATCTAGAAAACCTGCCTACACAACTATCTAGAAAACCTGCCCACACCACTATCTAGAAAACCTGCCCACACCACTATCTAGAAAACCTGCCCACACAACTATCTAGAAAACCTGCCCACACAACTATCTAGAAAACCTGCCCACACCACTATCTAGAAAACCTGCCCACACAACTATCTAGAAAACCTGCCCACACAACTATCTAGAAAACCTGCCCACACCACTATCTAGAAAACCTGCCCACACAACTATCTAGAAAACCTGCCCACACCACTATCTAGAAAACCTGCCCACACCACTATCTAGAAAACCTGCCCACACCACTATCTAGAAAACCTGCCCACACCACTATCTAGAAAACCTGCCCACACAACTATCTAGAAAACCTGCCCACACCACTATCTAGAAAACCTGCCCACACCACTATCTAGAAAACCTACCCACACAACTATCTAGAAAACCTACCCACACCACTATCTAGAAAACCTGCCCACACAACTATCTAGAAAACCTGCCCACACAACTATCTAGAAAACCTGCCCACACCACTATCTAGAAAACCTGCCCACACCACTATCTAGAAAACCTGCCCACACCACTATCTAGAAAACCTGCCCACACCACTATCTAGAAAACCTACCCACACCACTATCTAGAAAACCTGCCCACACCACTATCTAGAAAACCTACCCACACCACTATCTAGAAAACCTGCCCACACCACTATCTAGAAAACCTGCCCACACCACTATCTAGAAAACCTACCCACACAACTATCTAGAAAACCTACCCACACCACTATCTAGAAAACCTGCCCACACAACTATCTAGAAAACCTACCCACACAACTATCTAGAAAACCTACCCACACAACTATCTAGAAAACCTGCCCACACCACTATCTAGAAAACCTGCCCACACCACTATCTAGAAAACCTGCCCACACAACTATCTAGAAAACCTACCCACACCACTATCTAGAAAACCTGCCCACACCACTATCTAGAAAACCTGCCCACACCACTATCTAGAAAACCTGCCCACACAACTATCTAGAAAACCTGCCCACACCACTATCTAGAAAACCTGCCCACACCACTATCTAGAAAACCTGCCCACACCACTATCTAGAAAACCTGCCCACACCACTATCTAGAAAACCTGCCCACACAACTATCTAGAAAACCTGCCCACACCACTATCTAGAAAACCTGCCCACACCACTATCTAGAAAACCTGCCCACACCACTATCTAGAAAACCTGCCCACACAACTATCTAGAAAACCTGCCCACACCCACTGTCTAGAAAATCTACCTAAATCCTCTGTCTAGAAAACTTACCCACACCCATTGTCTAGAAAGCCTACCCAAATCCTCTGTCTAGAAAACTTACCCACACCCATTGTCTAGAAAGCCTACCCAAATCCTCTGTTTAGAAAACCCACACCCACTATTTAAAAAAAAACCTACCCACACAAACTCTCTAAAAAAACTACCCATACCAGCTCTCTATAAAACCTACCCTAGTGGTTCAAAACCCGCCCTAACTCTGAATATGTTGATAGAATCATGTATAGACGATCCTCTTTGTACACACCCCTATGGTAAACATGGCCACCTACATGTCACGCTGTGTACACGACCCCTATGATACATCCCCTCTCTGTGTACACGACCCCTATGTTAAACATGGCCACCTACATGTCACGCTGTGTACACGACCCCTATGCTAAACATTACCACCTACATTTCACGCTGTGTACACGCCCCTATGTTAAACATAGCCACCTACATGTCACGCTCTGTACACGACCTCTATGTTAAACATGGCCACCTGCATGTCACGCTGTGTACACGCCCCCTATGTTAAACATGGCCACCTACATGTCACGCTGTGTACACGCCCCCTATGTTAAACATGGCCACCTACATGTCGCGCTGTGTACACGCCCCCTATGTTAAACATGGCCACTTACATGTCACGCTGTGTACACGCCCCTATGTTAAACATGGCCACCTACATGTCGCGCTGTGTACACGCCCCCTATGTTAAACATGGCCACCTACATGTCACGCTGTGTACACGCCCCCTATGTTAAACATGGCCACCTACATGTCACGCTGTGTACACGCCCCCTATGTTAAACATGGCCACTTACATGTCACGCTGTGTACATGACCCCTATGTTAAACATGGCCACCTACATGTCACGCTGTGTACATGACCCCTATGAAACAACATCTCTCTGTGTACACGCCCCCTATGTTAAACATGGCCACCTACATGTCACGCTGTGTACATGACCCCTATGAAACAACATCTCTCTGTGTACACGCCCCCTATGTTAAACATGGCCACCTACATGTCACGCTGTGTACACGCCCCCTATGTTAAACATAGCCACCTACATGTCACGTTCTATACACGACCTCTATGTTAAACATGGCCACCTGCATGTGACGCTGTGTACACGCCCCCTATGTTAAACATGGCCACCTACATGTCACGCTGTGTACACGCCCCCTATGTTAAACATGGCCACCTACATGTCACGCTGTGTACACGCCCCCTATGTTAAACATGGCCACCTACATGTCACGCTGTGTACACGCCCCCTATGTTAAACATGGCCACCTACATGTCACGCTGTGTACACGCCCCCTATGTTAAACATGGCCACCTACATGTCACGCTGTGTGCACGACCCCTATGTTAATCATGGCCACCTACATGTCACGCTCTGTACACGACCCCTATGTTAAACATGGCCACCTACATGTCACGCTGTGTACACGCCCCCTATGCTAAACATGGCCACCTACATGTCACGCTGTGTACACGCCCCCTATGTTAAACATGGCCACCTACATGTCACGCTGTGTACACGACCCCTATGTTAAACATGGCCACCTACATGTCCCGCTGGGGCAGCTGAAGCCTCTTGATCACCATGGAAACAACGCTCTCGGCGTCCGTGCCTTGGGTTAGGGTTAGGTATAGGGTTAGGATCGGATCCAGCCTGCACGTCACCGTCATACCTGTAGCTGCACTGGGCTCCACGCTCAGGTGGATATAATTTCCTGAAACATATTTCATTACTAGCGTTAATTAAATTCAATGCATAATGATATCATTTACGCGAAAAAAAAAATAAAACATTGACAATTTAATGTTATCACAATATGCAAAAAAAAAAAAGAAATACGTAAAATGAAGACTGTATTCTGTTTTTAGCGCAATTTCCATGCTGGAGAATTGCGTTTATTAACTCGTCTTTTCTGGGAATGTGTGTTCGCAGCTTTAAGTCTTATCTCCTCCTCAACGAAGCAATATCGAGGACTAGTTCCAAAAGCAAATTTGTTAAGCAAGTTCCGAGGATGATAGTGGGCCAAAAAAATTCCCGGAATTCCTTCCTGGATTTCACGGAAAAGCCAAAAAAACTCGAAAAAATGCAGTTTTTGGCCCATATCTCGGCAACCAGACTACTTAGTTTTCAAAAATATCTTTTCGTTCGGTCACAAATTTTAAAATTACATAAACACCTACAAACCGATCGTTCTCCTTGCTTGAACGCACCCCAGCATTATACGTCAGAGCTATTTTTAGATAGCATAAGGAAATTACGCTTAAATGTCACTAGACTTTTTAATTAACTTGTTTAACCAGAGGTGTGCATAAAACGAAAAAAGTGCATTCCTTAGAATTAAAAGCCAAAATAACTTGTCTTGTCACCTATTATCCCATTTGTTAATTTTTCACCGAAACCTTCGTCCGTTTTTAATATAACCATACTAATCCACACTTCGGAAGATCTTATAATATAGCCGATACATTGCTCAGGTCACGTAACGCTATGCCAACGAAGTATTTGTTGTAATAAATTAACTAAATAAAGCTGTATTATTTATTTATATTGATTATACACGTCCGAGAAATGTTTTGCGTATCGCTTAGAACTTATCCGCGCGTCCCAGTTTGCAAACCTTGGTATATAGCTCTAAGCTGCTCAGTTGCTCTATAAAGATACAGCAGTATCGTGATATTCGCATAAGGGGTCATCAATTTAAGGCGTCACGCGTTGTTTAAAAACAATTTTACACACCCTTCCTTATGGTAACTTATCGTCACAGCAACCCATACACACCTCTTTACACCGGCACATCTCGGTATACTGTCCCCCACCTTCAAAATCGCTTTTTTTATTTTTTGAAAACAGCGGTTTTTTTTATGTACTGAGCTCGATGAATCTGAGTATATTCCTTAATTTTTTTATCACAATTTATGAAAGAATTTTAAAAAAAAACGCCAAATAATCGCTTAAACTGTTTCTGACATTTCTTTCTAAAATACAACGGCGTGTTATCAGTCTCTGAACCTCCTCTCTCCCCCTCGTCACAAAAGTCTGACCCCTACCCCTTGGAGTGTGACGTCATTTATCGACGAACCCATACTAAATCTATGTTCAAATGGGTGTCCTCTTAATGACTATATCATTATCAACACTTGAAAAAAGAACATTTAAAAAAATTATTAATGTAAATAGGATTCTAATGAATTAGATGTTTGAAAAGTTGGATTTAAAAACAATTAGAGATGAAACAATTCTTACTCAGAGATTGCGGCCGGTTGTAGGGGTGGTAGGGGGTCGTGATGGGGTGGTAGAGGGTCGTGAAGGTATGGGGGTAGGGGGTCGTGAAGGTATGGTAGTAGGGGGTCGTGAAGGTATGGTGGTAGGGTGTCGTGTAGGGGTGGTAGTAGGGGGTCGTGAAGGTATGGTGGTAGGGTGTCGTGTAGGGGTGGTAGTAGGGGGTCGTGAAGGTATGGTGGTAGGGTGTCGTGTAGGGGTGGTAGTAGGGGGTCGTGTAGGGGTGGTAGTAGGGTGTGGTGCTCTGTTGGTAGACCAGCCACGGGTTGCTCGTGGTTCTGTGCAACCAGTCGGGGGTGGTGGTGCTGGTTGTCGTTGACCGTCTGGTTGTCGAAGTCGTGGTGCTTGGGGTTGACCTATGTGTTGTCGTAGTGGATGTTGTCTCGTCTGAAAAGAATCAATGGCAATGATGACCAAACAGTACTGGCTAAGTAAATGGGAGGAATTGCAATAAACAGGATGGCGGGGAACACAGTGAACAAAGTGAAAAAAAAATACTTAAATTACACCCACACACACACATACACACACATATACATATATATATATATATATATATATATATATATATATATATATATATATATATATATATATATATATATATATATATATATATATATATATATATATATATATATATATATATATATATATATATATATATATATATATATATATATAATTTTAAAAGTGGCCCCCAATCCCAATGTGCATGTGTTCTGCAACAAAGCTTGAATTTTTTTCGCCTTGGTTTGAAGAATTGGTAAAATGGTAAATTATTTTTTTTTAAATCAAAACATTAACGACACTATTACAGTTCCGATCATGGGGGGCCCTCCGAGGTTTTCTTCTGGGGGCCCATTCAGATATTTTTCTTGGGGGCGCACCGGGTTTTTTCTAGACTGGCGGCCCAGTCCACCCTTGACCGTCATACAAGTCTGATATAACTAACCTATTTCTAACATACAAAACACAACAAATGTTCGAAACTTATTTTTTCATTAATCTTAATCTTGCGCTAGAGCTTATCTATACTTACATCCTTGGACAGACAACACTACAAGGCACAGCAAAAGCACTGTAAAATTCGCCATTTTTGGTACCTCGGGAGAAGCAATACAAATGTCTAGTCTATCCAGGTCTATTTATACCATAATTGTATGGCCTTTATCATATAGGCCCCTGTTCATATGTTGAATCTAGTTTACATGACGTCAGCTTCTTATTAAGTTGCTTGCTCATCACCCTATTGTTTATTGTTTAAAGATATATAGGTGATACTGCAATCTATTGCGCAATATTTTTTTAGGTTACCGGTACAAAAAGACCAAAGTCAGTGATTATATTCTGGACCTTGGCCATAGGTGGATTTATCTCACTACCCCCCCCCCCCCACCAAACATAAAACACAATATAGGGAACATACTTTTACTTTATTGATCATCCTACTATTTGAAAAGTTCGATCAAATACATATATATGTTCAGGCCTAGATTAATATTTCAATATTATTTCATTTGAAGTTCTTTTCTAAAAATAATATTTAAAAAGAAAAACATGAAAGTATGGCGTCAAACTCCGATAGCCTCTACCAGAGTTTCTTCCAGGCATCTCTTCGGGGGGGCGAAGCCCCCCCCCCCCCTCCGAAATTTTTTTACCGCCCCCCCCCCCCCCGAACGAAATGAAATTTATATAATTTATATAGAAAATATATAATTTTAACAGTGTCCGCCCCCCCCCCCCGAAGAAAGTCTACCGCCCCCCCCCCCCCCCGAAAAATTTCAAGTGCCCCCCCGGAGAAAAAAGTCTGGAAGAAACACTGGCCTCTACAGAAATCTTCAACAATATAAATAATCTAATTTTATTTTTTAAGGAAAAAAACTGGGGCTGGGGGGGGGGGGGACATATGTCCCCGGGCGCCGACCTTAGGGGGGTGCCAATTTGAAAGTTTGAGGGGGGTGCAAATGAAAAGTTGTAGGGGGTGCAAATCGAAAGTTTGTCCCCGGGCACCGGGAAGGGTCGCTACGCCTCAGATCTCTGATATGGTTCGTCAATAAATGACGTCACACTCGTTGGGGGAGGGGGGGGGGTCCGTAATTTTGTGACGGTGTGTGATGAGGGGGAGGGGGGTGGGGGGGGGGTTCAGATGGTGCGAAGTCACACTTTTGCATTATCAAAAAACAATGCTAGAAAACGAATTTTAGACGTTATTTTGCGTTTTAGAAAACTGTTTTAATAAATTGTAATAGGAATTGGTTAAAATACTCTATTTTCAAAGAGTTCAGACAAGATTTTGGAAAAATATCGATGTTTTGAAGAAAAATTCAACTGCAATTTTGAGGGGGGTTGTAGGCTGAGGTATGAAGTCATTTTAGGGTGGGGGTCTGGCTTTTTGTGACAACGTGTGACGGAGGGGGAGGGGGGAAGTAAAAATCTTTAAAAAAAGCGTAACGTCATTTATGGATGACCCCATATATATATATATATATATATATATATATATATATATATATATATATATATATATATATATATATATATATATATATATATATATATATATATATATATATATATATATATATATATATAACACATTGTACGCTTCCAGCATGTTTGAATTGTTATGTGCGTGAGTTGGGGGTAAGGTGAGGGGTGGGGGGGTAGACAATAAATCGGGATAAATAAAGTGTGATGTTTATTATAATATTGCATTGCAATAAGTATTTGTGTTGAATTATATAACATGGATCCGACCAATCCAGTATACACAATCAACTCCCAGTTCAAGATTAATTAATTAGAGGTACTTAAAGTAAGAAAAAACTCTGTCCTAGTTCTTCCCATAGATGACACAGCTATCACCAGTATTGTTGTACGTTGTGTGTATATAAATAATTATATCAAAATCATAGCTTAATGATAGCAAGGTTGAATTGTTTCTGAATTTTAAAAAAATTGTAAAATATAATTTAAAATAACAGAAGACAATTATATTGACCAATGATGTTATTACATTTATTGTTTAAGTTTCTTCGTACACATATTATTTAAAATTTAATTCGAATTTTTTTTTTGAGTAAATTCATGTTCCGTGATTTTACATTTTTGAAAGCTAGTGTTGAGATCTTAGGGTTTCTAAGCCAACGTGCACAATTTCAGTTTAGTGAGGCATCGCAAGTCAGCACAACCACCGCGGTCCAAGATAGCAACGTAGAGATGAGATAAGTATGGAGAGTAATGTGTGAGGAGTGGGGGGTGGTGTGTCGGGAGTGGGGAGTGGGGAGTGATGTGTGGGGGAGTGGTGTGGGTGTTGGTTGTGTATGGGGAGTGGTATATGGGGGGTGGTGGTGTTTGGGGAGTAGTGTATATGGAGTGGTGTATGAGTGGTGGTGTTTGGAGAGTGGTGTCGAGGTGGGTTGTGTATAAGGAGTTGTGTATATTGTGAGATGATTCAATGCGGATCTTGAGTTTAAGTGTGGGTTTTCTATGTAGGTTGTATGATGTGGGGTGTAGAGTGTAATTTTAATATTTTATAGATGCTGTTGGAAGTCGTTTTGGTAACGATGATGCTTTTGTGGTGGTACGATTCGAGGTGTGCGGCGACATACTGACGTTGCGTTATTAGGTTTCGTTTGGCGTGTGGTACTTGATGTCGTGCGGTGTATTATTTTACCATTTTGGTTTGCGACCCGTAATAATTTTAATATACTACAGCAGGGGTTCCCAACCCTGTGCCCGCGGGCGCCATGACGCCCGATGAACGATTCGTATGTGCCCGCCTCTCACTATTCGACAGAGACAGAATTGTTTTCATAATCATTATTTTAAAATATAAATGGTGGAGGCCCTATGCTCCATAAGGAGCAAAGATAACTAAGTCAAGTAAGGCAAGTCATTTTAAAATATGATTTATTTTCAATTATTTGTTACAGTTTTAATTTTTTTTTTGACTGCCTAGGTTTATTAAATATGTTCGATACTTGTCCCAACTTGTCCCAACTACACTTTTTACGCTTGCCTGGAACGGCTAGTGCCATTTGCACATCACACCTTGTACACGCAGAAAACCTTTCTTTACGTTTTGTAACTACATTTCTCTGTGTGTATGCAATTTGAAACAAATGCCAAATAATTTTATTATTCTGAAACATTTTTGTTTATTATTTATTAATACATTTTGACTATAAGAAAATAAGAAAATAAATTATGGGAAAATGACAAGTTATGGAAGGAGTTTGTCGATTTAAAATAGGTGGTGCCCGCCACCCTACCGATATTTTAGAATGTGCTCCCTGCAACACATGTACAGCAACCTGCCTCACAGGTACAGCAACCTGCCTCACAGGTACAGCAACCTGCCTTCCTTACAGGTACAACAACCTGCCTTCATCACAGGTACAGCAACCTGCCTCACAGGTACAGCAACCTGCCTCACAGGTACAGCAACCTGCCTCACAGGTACAGCAACCTGCCTCACAGGTACAGCAACCTGCCTTCCTTACAGGTACAACAACCTGCCTTCATCACAGGTACAGCAACCTGCCTCACAGGTACAACAATCTGCCTCCGTCACAGGTACAACAACCTGTCTTCGTTACAGGTACAACATCCTGCCTACCTCACAAGTACAGCAAAATGCCTTCCTCACAGCACAGCATCCTACCAACCTCAGATGTGCAGCATCCTGCCTTCGTCACAGGTAAAGCAACCTGTGTAGCGAGATTTAGCCAATAATATATAGACAGACAAACGTACATTGTGACCTAAGAAAAAGATTTTAAAAAGAAAATCAAGCGACACCTTGTCATTTTAAAGTGTAATTGTTTGATGTTTAAGTACAAAATAAACTTAACGAGAAAAAAAACTAGATTTCTTTCAATTCTGTTTAATGCAATACCAAATTGTCTTTCTGACATCAGATAATCGCAACAAAAATAGGCTCATTTCTCTCCGGTGTATTTTTCCAGGAATCTCTTTGGGGTGCCCTCCCCCGAAGCACGCCGGCCTCCCCCCATTCGGAAATGTAATTATATGAAATATAATTATATAGAAAATATATACTTTTACTAATGTCCCTCCCTTCTCCCCCGCCCACCCGGAAACTGTAGTCCCCCTTCCCCCCCCCCCCCCCCCCCACTTCCTCCAAAAGTTTCAAGTGCCATGGCCGGAGAAAAAAGTCTGATAGAATTCATCTATTTTGCCTCACTTTGGTAATCGGACCTTAATTTGAACTGTTAATTTTTATTTATAATAGCGCATTTTAAAATTAATTAAAATTACATCTCAGTAGATTTTTATAAACCCACGACGTGTTGAGTACTCCCATTTATTTTTCAATATATTTCTTATATTTAGTTCTTGTTTTTAAAGAACCACCGAAATAGCCTACAATATCGGATAGTACATTTTTAAATTTAAAAATTGCTTAAAATTAGCTTTAGGTCTAATAGCTTCGCATTTGATCCACGCTGAAATAGATCAACGAACAATTGCATCTTTCTCGCAAATGAAGTAAGTTGTATAAGCTTCAGGATTCGTCGCGCATGGAATATCCGCCATCTTGGTTCCGTCTGTCTCAGAGTGCCACAAGGCTAAGCAGTTCTTGGCCAGTCCGCCGTGGGGCTGGTCAGGCCCCCAGTCAAAGTACGTCACTGCCCTGTTGCTGTGTCCGTTGATCCACTTGTTCTCTAGCGCCTTGTCATTGGCACCTGTCAGGACGGTGTCTCCTGGTTTGGTCTCTGTGTTGACATAGTTCTGTGGAACGAAGACGAGGCTACATAACCTTTATAAAATATGAAATGTGTGAGACGATGCTTATTTATTGTGAGCTCCCACTTGATTAGCAAGCAGTGTTTCTTTCAGGTATCTCTCCGTGGCATCATCATCCCCCATCACCGGAGCACATCAACCATCAAATATCCCCCTGTCAACTACCCCCCCCTCCCATCTCCAGCGGACGGAATAGAAAAATTATAGAATGCTTAAAGATAATACATGCCTCTGCTTAACCAATATACGCCCCATCTCCCTACCGGAAATTTCGTGCCTCCACCCCTTAAAACCACATGTCTGAAAGAAACCTTGGTAGAAAGGATAGAAAAGTTCTAACCGCAAACAATTTTTAAAAATATTATCATTTCTCTTTATACCTCTACTTTAAGCATGCAGTAATGCTTATGTAGTTGGTCGCAATATTTTTTTCGCACAACTGCGATGCTAACCCACCCCCCTCCCCAAGAGGTGCATAAAAGAAATTCTACTAAAGCACCCAGCATAAAGGAGTTGATCGTGAAGCTTAAACAATATCAACGAGTGACAACTATAACCCCCCCCCCCTTCACCTGTATCATCGGATACATCTCACCTGTAAGATCAAACACCCATTACCTGTATCATCAGGTATCTCACCCGTAAGATCAAACACCCCTCACCTGTATCATCAGGCACCCCTTACCTGTATCATCAGATACCCCTTACCTGTATCATCAGGTACCCCTTACCTGTATCATCAGGTACCCCTTACCTGTATCATCACATCCCTCACCTGTATCATCAGGCAGGGGCGTAGCGAGGGGGGGGGGGCGGGGGATGCGGTCGAAAATTTGAAAGTTTGTCCCCGGGAAGGGTCTCTATGCCTTTGGGGGGGGGGGTGACACCATTAAGTGTCGCACCGGGTGACACCCGACCTCGCTACGCCACTGTCATCAGGTACTTCTCACCTGTATCATCAGGTACCCCTTACCTGTATCGTCAGGTACATCTCACCTGTAAGATCAAACACCCCTCACCTGTAAGATCAAACACCCCTCACCTGTAAGATCAAACACCCCTCACCTGTAAGATCAAACACCCCTCACCTGTAAGATCAAACACCCCTTACCTGTATCATCAGGTACTCCTCAAGACTATTAATCTCCAGAAGATACCCCCCAAGTCCTGACCGACAAACTTCTGCAGCTTCCTGATCACTGGGTGACTGGAACTTGGACATGTAGTAGCTGGTTGGGGATTCAAACAGAATTTTAAAATATAATTCAATAAAACAGACCACAGATCTGATACAAAGTAGGTTATAAATAAATCAAAAAGTGCTTTAACGCTGCTTTAATGATTGCAGTGATTAGCTTTAATGTACTGGATGGGCTGTTTAAAAAAACCCAGATAACACAAGAATGGCGCTGAAGTGGACGCTTCAAGGAAAAGAAAACAGGGAAGTCCAAAAGAGACGTGGAGACACACAACAGAAAAACAACTGACAAGTCAGGACTATCTTAGGGTCTGAAAGAAAGTTGCCAGAGATCTGCAATGGTGGAAAGAGCTTTCTGTGGCGGCCCCATGTGATCAGGGCACAGAATGGAAGATAATGAATAAACTAGCTGATACTTCTCTTTTCATTTAAAAGCAAGTAATAAAATTAAAAACACACATATAAATACATATAAATGATAAATATTATTAATAAAAATGGAAAAACCATTGCTTGTGTATTAAACTATAAAATTTGGTGTGTCCCCCACCCTCAGAGGCGTAGCGAGGGGGGGCGGGGGGGTCATATGTCCCCGGGTGCCGACCTTAGGGGGGGGCGCCAAATTGAAAGTTTAAAGGGGGGGGGTGCAAATAAAAAGTTCGAGGGGGGGTGCAAATCGCGAAAGTTTGAGGGGGGGGGGGGTGCAAATGAAAAGTTCAAGGAGGGGTGCAAATAGAAAGTTTGTCCCCGGGCGCCGGGAAGGGTCGCTACACCTCTGACTTGGTGTCACTCCCCCCGCCCCCCCCCCCCCCCCTTAATGGTGTCTCCAGGTGCGGTCCGCAATCCCCCTCGCTACGCCTCTGTGTATATATATATATATAGTCCTGCGTATAAGCCAAGCGGTACTTACGACGAAAGGCCCCCTGAGAAGTGTC